GCACGGTGTAGCGAATGAATAACGCATGTTATTAAAATCACAAATATTACGCGAGATTCGGAATTGGCATCGACCGAAGTAATCCATATTTCTTGTGTCGCGAGACGGCGCGTCTGGCGATGAAGTCGGAAGAAAACGAGAAGCATCGGAAACCGCGCGGAAAGAAAGCTGACCATAGAAATTCACTTCGCATCTGGCCATCACGTTTGTTTACGCGAAAACACGCTCCTGTTACAGTCACATGGGGCATTTGCCTCTGGGAACGCTGTAAATCGTCGCGTTTATAACAACCACTCCAACATCTGGACCTAAACTTGCCTTCCACGGCCCACAATCTCTAACATGCTTCTTTTGACCTGGAAAATCGCTTCTCTACTTGTTCGCCATTTTATTTCTAACCTTCGTTCGCGTTTCGTTCGAGTATTTCTTTTGGTTTGGTCAATTTTGCGGATCGTGGGTTTTAGATCTTTGTTTATTTTTAAAGATTTGTGTTATCTCATGTGACGCACGTAAGTGAAACTCATATTTTTAATACGATTGAATTTGTACATTTTGTCTTAACACGTTGACTAACACACTAAAGCAATTTGCAATTGCATCTAGTAGTGTTTTAATTTTTAATCAATTTTTCAATTATTTTCACAATATCTTGTTGCATTTATTTTCCATAGATCCATGCAATTAAAATTAAGAAAGAAAAAATTAAAATTAGGAAAGTGAATAAATTATTAACAATATACAGTCAGTGTAAAAAGTATTCGTACAGTAATTAATTTCAACAAAAATGTTGCGAAACGTCATTTATTAACAAAATTTGAACAAATAAAAAATACATACATATTCTTAGATGCCTATGTATTCTATGTAAGAATGTGTATGTATTTTTTATTTGTTCAAATTTTGTTAATAAATGACGTTTCGCAACATTTTTGTTGAAATTAATTACTGTACGAATACTTTTTACACTGACTGTATATTGTTAATAATTTATTCACTTTCCTAATTTTAATTTTTTCTTTCTTAATTTTAATTGCATGGATCTATGGAAAATAAATGCAACAAGATATTGTGAAAATAATTGAAAAATTGATTAAAAATTAAAACACTACTAGATGCAATTGCAAATTGCTTTAGTGTGTTAGTCAACGTGTTAAGACAAAATGTACAAATTCAATCGTATTAAAAATATGAGTTTCACTTACGTGCGTCACATGAGATAACACAAATCTTTAAAAATAAACAAAGATCTAAAACCCACGATCCGCAAAATTGACCAAACCAAAAGAAATACTCGAACGAAACGCGAACGAAGGTTAGAAATAAAATGGCGAACAAGTAGAGAAGCGATTTTCCAGGTCAAAAGAAGCATGTTAGAGATTGTGGGCCGTGGAAGGCAAGTTTAGGTCCAGATGTTGGAGTGGTTGTTATAAACGCGACGATTTACAGCGTTCCCAGAGGCAAATGCCCCATGTGACTGTAACAGGAGCGTGTTTTCGCGTAAACAAACGTGATGGCCAGATGCGAAGTGAATTTCTATGGTCAGCTTTCTTTCCGCGCGGTTTCCGATGCTTCTCGTTTTCTTCCGACTTCATCGCCAGACGCGCCGTCTCGCGACACAAGAAATATGGATTACTTCGGTCGATGCCAATTCCGAATCTCGCGTAATATTTGTGATTTTAATAACATGCGTTATTCATTCGCTACACCGTGCGCGTGCATATTTGAATATTTCATTTAACTTGTGGCGAAATTCGAGATTTCGTTATCCGTTTAAAATTTCCCCCGGTGACGAAGTTTTTATCGGAACGACAGTGTCGCGGAAAAATACGATAAAATATGACTGGGCAGACTATGGTTATTAGATTAGATTATTAAGTAGATCTGTAAATAAAGACAGGGCGAAATGACCGTCGCATGTGGAAATTTCGGATAAAATGATTCGATAACGTCGTACTTTCAAATTAAAATCGCCATTTTTTTTCTGTGCCTCGCAGAAGTTCGTCGGCGGAAGTCTTCGATAATTGGATATTGATTGGTTCGCGTCGGAAGAATCGTGCAAGAGCGAGTGACGGTTCTTGTCCCCCTCTCGATATTTTTCGAAAAGACGACATAGTTGCCGCTTATTCGCCAGAAAGATATTCACCGCTTTAAACTTGAATATTACCCGCGTTTTATGGTAATTACTTTCCCTCCCAACGTCTATTACGCTTCTGGACGTTCGTAGCTAGCCTAGATGCACGCGAGCGAGCGCGAACTGTTTGCACCACTTTCTGGCTCGTTTTTAATTATAAAAGTTTCCATTTAGCGAACCACTACCCTTTTCACGTTACCCAGTTCGCCGATCTCGTGGCTCGTCGACCGTTTAAAAAACTGTACACGTTACTTTGACCGCCTCATTTCGCCTCTTACCCTTTCAAAATAATCATTTGGATACAATTTAACACCTTCTAAACCCGTCGCGTACGTATATCCGATTCGATAGCGGCAGGCACATATACACGCTTATACTTTTTATAATGTAGGCTCAATTCATAACACACCTGTTTTATACTGTTCATAAAGTATCGTACGTTTATCCACAGTATGCGTTTCGTACTGTTCTACATCGTTGATGACGCACAAGGTGTGTCATAACCTCCATGATATTTCATATAGGACACACCATGTGCGTCATGATATTTATGCTACATCATAGAGGACGCACCATATGCGTCACGACTGCAATGATATTTCAAAGAAGACGCACCATGTGCGTCATGATATTTATGCTACATCATAGAGGACGCACTATATGCGTCACAACTGGAATGATATTTCATATAGGACGCACCATGTACATCATGATATTTATGCTACATCATAGAGGACGCACTATATGCGTCACGACTGGAATGATATTTCATATAGGACGCACCATGTACGTCATGATATTTATGCTACATCATAGAGGACGCACCATATGCGTCACGACTGCAATGATATTTCATAGAAGACGCACTGTGTGCGTCATGATATCTATGCTATATCATAGAAGACGCACCATGTTCGTCATGACCTCAATATTTTATAAAAGACGCAACATGTGCGTCATGAAATATATGCTACATCATAGGAGACGCACCACATGCGTCATGACTTCAATATTTCATAAAAGACGCAACATGTGCGTCATGATATTTATGCTTTATCATAGAAGACGCACCATGTGCGTCACGACTTCAATGATATTTCATAGAAGGCGCACTATATGCGTCATGATGTATATGCTACATTATAGAAGACGCACTATGTGCGTCATGATGTATATTCTACATTATAGAAGACGCACTATATGCGTCATGATGTATATGCTACATTATAGAAGACGCACCATATGCGTCATGACCTCAAGGATACATCATAGAAGACGCACCATATGTGTCATAATATGTATGTTACATTATAGATGACGCACCATGTGTGTCACATTTATACTATATCATAGATGCAACCATGTATGTCTTACAGTTTCCTGCCTCATAGGTAACGCATCATGTATGTCATGCATCGATGCAACTTCATAGACAGCGAACCATATGTGTCTTACAATGTACCTGTAATATAGACGCACCTGGTGCGTCTTATAAATTTTTTGATATGCAATTTGCAACATAGTATGTGCATATCCATAAATCAATTTGTACAATAGAAAACGTATCGACCAGTGAAAAATAAAAAAAGAGTTTAATTTTCGCAACAGCAAAAACATTCTTGTATGGAGAACTTAAAATAGGATTGGTTGGAAATTCCATCGAGTCGAATTTACGATGTTCGATTAATTTAAGCAACAGGAAGGATGAGTCGAACAATTGCCGGTTCGAGAGATAATTTATTTGCGCTCCTCTTTTCACCGGGCAATTTTTCTTTCCGCATAGACGAAGTCGAGCCGCTACACCCGAGGCGTTTCTGCATAGTTTGCTTTGCAATTCTACCGCTAAAAAGTCCAACTTCCTCGTCTCCTCCCCGTTCCCGTCTGCTCGTCGCGTGTTCGCGAGGCCCGAAGCGTTTGCTCGGAAAATTCAAGCCGGTGAAAAGGAACGACCACGCGACAAGAAGGGAAGCCTCGACGCGATGGCACGAGATGTTAATTCAAAGATAATTTGTGGCGGAAAACGGGCTTGAAAGAAGCTCCTTAGCGGTTCTTTATATCGCTAAAATGATCACGAGTCGCTTTCAACGCTGGTCGATGCTGGTTTGCGCGTTTCTTCGTCGCGACCAAAAGACCAGAAGAAGAAACGCCACGTTTTTGCGGACTTCCACTTTGTGCCGTCTCACGGAGCTTCGAGATGAAAAGGAAACACTGCTTCGACCGTTATGGATTACTTCCACCGTCGCTTTAATTAAGATTTCGTCCATTCTTTTCTTGCACCGTGCTTATACATTTTTTCCCAACCGTGATTCTTCGATAACAATTATTCACAGTCTGACATGATTTCATAACATAAAAGCACCACCGTTTACTGCATGTCAATTTAAACCTTAAGTTTCAAGAAAATCGTACAAATATTTTATTGACATTGTCTGACACTAAACTGGCTCAAACAAATTTTGAAACACGTCTGACACGATTTCATAAAAATATAACAACATGGTACATCAATTTAAATAAACATTTGACATATAAAATGTAAAATGTTTCGTCGGAATAAACAGTGCATCGATCAATTTGTATTTCGGTATTGTCCATTAACGGGTATCCAATTTTCGATCAACCGCAACATATAATGGATATTGTAGCTTTTTATGGAAAGAAAACTCTTTTTGATTTTATTTTTGGAACACACAGGAAAAAGTGGTTGGTTGATTCATACTGACTCATTGCTTATTTCAACGAAGAACCAGTTTATGTCAAGAATATCGATAAAATGCTTATACAGTCATTAAACCTCAAGCTTTAAACTGATGTGTTATTTCACAATAATCGTGGCATCAAATTGCATCAGACTCCATAGATGTAAAAATTAGTCACTGTATCTGATAGGCGGCCATTTTGTTATGGATAGTAACAAAGCATGCAATAGTTTTCCCTGAATCTTAAGCTATAAAATGAGATAAATAGTATTTCACAATAATCTTGTGTCAACAAATTATATCAGACTTCATAAATATAAAAATTTATTGTTCGCTGTAACTGATAAGCATTTTGTTTTAAAAATAGTAACACAACAGACGTACTACTTTTCCTAGAATTACGCTCTAAAATGATATATCATAGGCACTATTTTGCAGTAAAAATTAATCACTGTTCTTTGTAACTGATAAGCGGCCATTTTGTTTTAAGAATAGTAACAAAACAAACGTACTAGTTTTCCTAGAATCTTATCTTATTAATTGACATATCACAAATTCTATTTCACAGTAAAAATCAGTTATTGTTCGCTATAACTGATAAGCAGCCATTTTGTTTAAAAAATAGTAACAAAACAAATGTACTAATTTTCCTAGCATCTTACGTTATTAATTGACATATCATAAATGCTATTTCGCAATAAAAATCAACCGTTGCTCACAGTACCCGATAAGCCGCCATTTTGTTTTAAAAATAGTAACAAAACAGACGTACTAGTTTTCCTATTATCTTCTGTCATAAAATCATATTATATATCATAAATGCTATTTCGCAGTACTACGTGTCATCAAATTGCATCAGACTTCATAGACATAAAAATTAGTCATTGTTCGTCGTAACTGATAAGCCGCCATTTTGTTTTAGGAACAGCAACAGACGCGCTAATTTTCCACGAGTCTTAACGCTTGTCGATTTAAAGCTTATTTCGCAGTACGTCTACGTTTCAAAATTGACCATTTGATATGCAACAAGCTAATACAATAAAGAACAGTCTCGATTCAAGAGCAACGAACCATAAAATAGTTCCACGCGAACGAAGCGTACGAGGAAACATCGAACGCTGTGGAAAAAAAACAGAACGAAAATTGCATCGGCGAACGAAGTAAATCCATGGAAAACAGATTTTCACAGGATACTCTCTCGCGATGTGACACGCGTTCGTGGTCATTCGAATACGCGTGTTTCGCGGTTCGCGATCGAACGGAAGCGTTATTGAATTTGCAATACGACCAAGAGTGGCTCATCGGAATGCAGTGATGCATCGCTATATATATATATGGCGATTGAGCACCGATTGTCGTTCCATACCGCGTCTTTCTCGCCGCTTAAACAAACGATCAGTATGCAAGGTGAGAGGCCGATCCATTCAGCTATCGAACGGAATGCAAAAAAAGCCGACGTTTCGAACAAAAGATTATCGGCAGGTTTTACCTCTGACGAAGTGGAAGTCTTCCTCCGGTGCCCCGTTATTCGCGTGACGACCCGTTTCTTCACCCCTCCGAATGTTCACGGAAATCTCAGATCACTCAAGTGTCTTACCCAAACTCCAAACCCGTTCGCATTGTTCGCTTCATTTATTCAATAACAGATATTCCATCATTTGACAACACCGCTCAGACAGTATCAATATTTACACAGAAAACACTTCATCACTTTCAGTAATCTTGTTACGTGTTGTTAAGAGCAATATTTTGAGTCGTTTTCCTTATACGCATAATCACTGTTTGGGCATAGTTTCAGAGATATTCAAATTGTAGTAGTGACGTCACGATGTATCACTGTATGACAACAATGTCACAGCCATTGCTATTACTAGTAGCAATACAGTAATAAGATATGCTAGGTTATGTACGGTAGCGTACATTGTAAACTTAACTGAAGCTGTGTATATCGTAGAAAGGTCGAGACGTATTTCAAAGTTATTGAAATCAGCCATTTTGTAAATAATTATCGTTGAAAGTAAAGAAAATATTGTTGCGATTACCTCTAAAATTAAAGCTGAACAGTGATTATACAGGGAAAAGTTCGAAACACATCGATGACGTATTTCAAGGTCACTGACAACGATGTATTTCAACATTAAAACCGATGTTCATTTTCATCGCAATCGTCAACGCGTCAATTTTGCATACACGGATATTTCTTCCTCGATAATCGATCTTGAAATAATTTTTTCACGCTCACTGCTCGTCCAATTATACACGTGTATCATTTGTCGACGGTGAAGAAATTTAATACGCTTCGAGAGTAATGTAAGCACACTTTACACGCGACTAATTCGCGCGATGGTCAATCAGGAGTATATATCCTAGCTCTTAACCGTCGAGTCGAGAACATAATTCGAGTGCTTGGTTATTAGAATCGAGCAGAGCTCTCGAACTGTTCGAGAACACCTCTGATAATCACTCGAGAATTTAGACTCGAATTTATTCGAGCTACTAATTAATCGATCGCTCGTCATGAATTGAAACCAATATCGAATGCGAAATAGTAGCTAACCCGTTAAATTGACGTAAATTAAATTTCTTCTTTACTCGTTTGTTGCATTTTTGTCAAGACCGTACGATTCGATTAAAATTAAAAATATCGATCTTTTTCCATGATGCAAATATTAAATGTCACGAGTTCAAAACGTTATAAATCGAAGAAAACTAGTTACGGGTTTATTTAACGATGTATTTAGAACATGAACTGAATTAATCATAACTTCGTTATTTGACCGATCAATTTGCTCTGTCCACGATTCGAGTGGACCGAACGTATCCAGACGTAACTAACCTAATTCGTGAAAATACAGATTTTTCCGTGAAATGTAGTCGATAATTTCAAATTCACGCGCATACTCTTGCTCGAACAAGCCTCTCATGCGTTTAACGAAATAATACAATCGCGTTCCAGTTCCATTCAAACTGACACTTTCAATCGTCCGCATTATCGATTCGAAACATTTCGATAGCTTCTGCTTGAAATAAATCGAAGAGTTCTGTTGTTACGTCCGAACGAACAATTCGTATTGACAGTTATTAATATTCGATTTGTTTCATCGCGTAACGGTGTGCACGAATATATATTTGATTTGGAACATAAAAATCCACGAAAATTCGTGGTACGCGAAGCTTGACTTGTTTCTTTCCCTCGTGTTTACTAACCTGCCTCGTCAAGTGTATCCAAGGGGACAAAAGTAATCTCCCGCGACCGTTGTAACAATTCCTCTCCCGTTTCTCCTTCCGATGTGTATAATAAGCGTTTCACACGAACGTTCAGCGGTTTCAAACGCGTAATTTTTATTGTAAATCGATTCGTACTCGCGTTACCACGATTCACCGTGTTCGTACAATAAGAAGTATGTTACGGTTGGTAACATCGTGTGATCTCGGTTGCCATGGCAACGGGAAAAAACGCGCGAGTAGTACTTGTACGGATCTCGTGATTTGAGATGGGGCCGGGTGTACATTCGTTTCAATTGCTTACGAGACAATAGTTTTGCTTAGCATCTCACGAACGAACGATTTTTTTTCTAATGAATCCATGTACATACACACACATACCACGAGATGAATATAGTGTTCGTGTATTGTGGTATCGCATAGTGTAGGTCATAAGGTGAGTCACAGGACGAAATACAAATGGCTTGCTCGACTAGAAACGATAGTATGCTGACGAAAATGCTACCGTAAACTAAATCATGTTATCATTTATTATACAGTACGAAACAGTGTAAATATTTTCACGGACAAACACGACTGCTCGTTGAACCTATAAATAAAATACTTCAAGTTCTCATTACTTTAAGCCATAAACCTCAGGGCCGAATTAACACGCAGGGTTTGATGAACGTCAGGGGATTTCTAAATTTCTATATTTGAAATTACGTAAATGGGTCTGAGTCACAAATGACCCGTAGGTACTTGAAGATTAATATCGTATCTTATTCCGGGCCCTATAAATTCTAAAGACAGCCCTGATTTTGATCCTACACTCTGTCGACCGTATTTTGTAGTCGATCGTCGTGCCGGTTATCAAATTACACTGGAGAAACTATCGAATTCGTTCGATACAAGATAAGCTAAATAATCACGGTCTAATTTTTCATCCAATTTTTGTCGAACAACCAAGGGTAAATTTACCCAAGAATATTGGAAACAAAGGGTGGGGGATATCGCTAAGAAAAAGAGTACGTTTACATTATTGCAAGGTATCACGCTATGCTGAACGTCGCCGAATACGAATTTTTTATTCAGATTAACAGATCATATAGCGATTAGAATTGTTTTTATGCGAGTCGTACGACGTCAGAAATAACTTAACGTTTTATCGTTAGATCTAAATGGGTTTCGCCTGTTACGGTGGCTTTTGAAACAGAAAAACGTACCTATGATTTATCACTGCTCCTAGACAGCATAATAACGAGAATCACTAGTAACTGTAAAAGCTACGTTAAATCTTAATTATACACTAATATTCATTTAACCTTTCAACGTAACGTTCCCCGTACCCCCTATCTAGTAGTTCCGTTCGAAGAAGTACGCGCCAATCTGATCGTGCTAATCGTAAAACGCAAGGTTTTTCCCTTTCTTTTTTAAACGAATCCACGTGCTGTGAGTTTACCGCATCGGTGTAATCAGATAACGTGTGGTGATCAAAATCAGAGTTTAGTTTTCCTAGATAAAAATTTTAGTTACGCCAATGGATCGCTGTCATTCTCACGCGTTTTCCTTTCAGCATCGGTTACCGGCGCGCTCACTTCGAGAAGAGGGTGCATTTTACGACGGCACCCGCATACTGCGCCACGTACTTCTCTCGATTTCTTTGAATTTTTCCGTAGCCACACCGAAAATCCACCCTCGCTGTTAAGGGAGAGTATGCATGCACGCAGACACGTACGAAACAACAGGCAAGCGAGGAGAGGCAAGTGTGGAAAAAAGGGGCATACACACCCGCATGGATCCCGTACAAAACGGTAACCTTACACGAACGTCGCGCCAAGTGTGTACTGTGTATCGATCCCGAGAGTACACGCGAAGACAGCTCTGAGCGCCACCACGTTCTCTCTGTCTCTCTTATCTCGTGGGAGAGGCGCTGTCTCTTGTTGTTGGTCTCGTTAGAACGCCGACAGTTACTCGGTACTGCTGTACGTATTTCGAGCGTGAGCAAAGAAATCACTGAAACTCGATCGCCGGCACGACAGACACTCTCTGTTTCCAACGCGACGTTCAGTTAAAAACGAGAACAAGGACGGTTCACGTTCGATGCATTTGCCGGCTTTATACGTCAGTTACGATCAACGAACGATCAAAGAGATATGTCTTGTGGTTACGTTCTTTGTATACGAAAGCGTTTCATAAAGTTGAATGGTGCTCTTACCTTGATTTTCTGTGAATAATTCGAACACTGACACACGACGATACAACGCGCACTCCACACCCGACGAAGGTCCGAGCTCGACTGAGAGCGTTCGCCGGAGTGCGGTGGCGCCACAGCCAATCCCAACGTACTAGCACGCAATTCCATCCTTCTTCTGAAGGTGCAATTCCACTGAGGGGTAGGGGAAGGGTACACTTTCTTCAAACACCGACTTCGCTTGAATTTTGCATAATTGTAGGGGCTCACCATAAACAATAATTTTGCGAAACTGTAGCGCGCACTTCTCTATAACAAGAATTTATATTCAAAGTTTCTTTAACGTGTATGATCTGTTTGGAAATAATACATAATCATGAAGTGTATTTTTACGCTGGTAAATTAAGTTTACAAAACTGAAGATCACGAGCTCAAGTTTTAAAATTATTCCTCTAACTCTGTTTTATTTTTAGACACTTTAAACCTATAACAAAAAATTAAATGAAAAAATTGATTATCTAATTAAACTGAAGTCGTTGTTTAATCTCATTATTTTTAAAGATATTACGGATAAATCTTCCATTTTTTTACAGAAGCCTTTGAAACATGAGACATCGTAACACTGTGTAAGCTTTAATTCAATTTTTTTGTTACTATTTCAAGATATCCATTTCTTTAATCAGTTTTAATTAAAAATAAACAAAAGGGTAGACAAAAACTACCCGGGTATCTGTGAGATACTCATGCGTACTATTTCTTCAGGTAAATTTACAATGGAGTGAAAAGCATAGTGACAAGTTATATGCCCCCGCAACGCCTTAGGACGGTCTCGTTCTTTCTGCGCATTTTAACTATGTACGGTTCTAGGTATTTTATAGTCTATGACAGTGCACATGCGCTCTTATAACGATCGTAACACCGAAACTATATACCTAGCGGATAGAAAGTTTTATGACTTCTGATTAGTATTGATTGCAATATATTTCCTCGTTTAGATTAAACTCTTTTCCTATATTTATACGTATTATAAAAATATTTAAAAATGGTTACAGTAAACTTTATATAAAGTATCTGCTTTCAACATCACCACCGGTTACCACTGTTCATTTATTTTGTCCCACTATGTATATGACCATGAAAGTAGAGTTAGGTTGTAGAGGAGTTTCATAGCTGTGGTCAAAAATCTTCCTAGGTTGTCCAGTTGCGCGGATTTTGATATTCTCTCGTGGAATGAAGGGTAACAATGGGTTCCGTATTGTCGGCGTTCGAACGAGGAAGGCATTGAGAATCTCTTGTTCAAATAGGCTCAAATATGGCGGACTGCCATCGGCAGGTAGTAGTTTCACAGTTTCGTATTAATTACAGGTGTACAATTTTTAGAAAACCGACGAACGAACAATATGAATCGTAACACATCTTTTCAACGAAATGTATGTACGGTACAAATAAGAGAGTCGAGACGATCTAAGTTTCGTCGGATTGATTCGTTCAACGGGTAAGCGAAACAATTTTCATTTTGACTCGACGTTGCTTTCGCATTCGTGATTCGTGACTCGTCTGTACGCGAAGGTACGAGCTAAGTAAACGGACAAGCCGAAAGGGAAGCTTCAGCTTCAATGCGAATGCAATGATCAGATTTTTACTTGCTTTTGTTGTTATTTATAAATTGTTTGACAAGTATATCGATAGTTAAACGTAATTTTTTCATATCAATGACGCGACTGTAACGGTGGTAACCGTTATGATTTTACCGATGACGATTTTGACAGTGGCAATAATTAAAATGACGTTGAGCGTACCCGTGTCGTTCTTGTGTTATTTTTTCTTCTTCTTTATTTTTTGTCATTTTTCTTTTTCTACTTTAGATATCAATTATAATGTTCAATAAATGATTTTTTGTTTTGCTGTATCACAGATGAATGATTTGTATAGGTAATATAAATGTGTATTAACCATATGTATATCTTCTGTTTAGTTAATTTAATTGTATTTAATCCTTAAAAATGTTTGACCATTTACTTTGCTATTACCTGATACTCAGTTTCTTTTGTGTTACATGTTTATTAAAAATCTTCAATGTTGAGTGATCATGTGTTCATAATTTTGCAAATGTTGTATAGATTGAGCTTGATCTAATAAAAGTAGCAGAAATGGATGGAACAAGAGCAGCGGAGGTTCTACCTTTGCTTCAAGAACGTTTGGCCATACTTCCTGGTGGCCGAGATCGCAGGGGTGGACCTGTATTGGTCTTTCCAACCACCCCAAGACGCGAACGTGCAAAACCTGAGGATTATCGTCGTCTTCTGCAGTATCTGTTGACTGTACCTGGCGACGAAGTCAGGGGATTGCGTTTCACTGTGATAGTGGATATGCGGGGTGCTACCTGGGATTCTGTTAAACCTATTTTAAAGGTTGTATTTTCTTAGCAATCATCAAAAATAAAATGATAACTTCAATCATACATGTGTGATATATTTTAGAATAGGATGATTTAAAATCACTTGCTTTTAATTACCATTGAGTTAATATTTCTTTGTTAAAGGTATTGCATGAACATTTTCATCGGTCTGTTCACGTGGCTTTCATCATAAAACCTGAAAATTTCTGGCAAAAACAACGAACTTCGTTAGCCAAGCAAAAGAAATATAATTTTGAAGTAAGAATCATAGTAGATCAGAGATGATTTTAATCCTCAAAGTACAAACTTAATCTTTAAAGTAAAATTTCATTTATTTTAGATAAACACCATCAGTTTGGAGGCATTGTCGAAAGTGATCGATCCGTCGCAGCTAACCGCGGACTTAGATGGATCTCTGAAATACGATCATGCTCAGTGGATCGATACGAGACTCGCCGTAGAAGACTTTACGTGGCAAGCTGCCGATCTGCTCGATAGGTTGGACGACTTGCAAGAAGATCTGAGTCGAAATGATTTCGCGGACGACGTGTCCGGCGCGAAGCACGGTCTCGATTTACATAATGAAATGAAGAAAAAAATTCTGAAAGTTCCAGTCGAGGAGATCGAAGTGGTCGGTCAACGGTTGCTTCAACGTTTCGATAATGGTAAAACAATTTGATGAATTTAATATTTCTAGAACTAGCATCGATAGTTCTGATCATTTTTGTTCGATGCATTCTATGATAAAAGACGGAACGTTTATTGTTAGGTATGGCTGGTGCTGGCAGCGAAGGAGGCAGTATCGAAAGTGGCGCGACAGGCGGTACTGACCCTGATGGACGTGCGTTAGCAGCCTTAGTAATTCAACACTTGGATTCCGTACACGCCGCGCAGCAACACCTTTTACAATTGTGGCATATCAAAAAGATGAAATTGGATCAGTGTTTTCAACTAAGGCTCTTCGAACAAGATTGCGAAAAGATGTTTGATTGGATCTGCCACAACAGAGAAGGATTTTTGGCGAATTACGTCGAGATCGGTCGATCGTATCAGTTAGCAAAAAATCTTCAAGAAGAGCATAAGCATTTCACCATAAGTTCGATGAACGTTTACGTGAATATAAATAAAATTCTAACGATGGCGAGTCGTTTGCTCGAAACTCAGCATTACGCGGCTGGACACGTGAGGGCTGTAGCTGGTCGATTGGATCGAGCTTGGAAAGAATTTGCCGCGGGACTCGACGAGCGTACAGCGGTCCTCGGTTTGAGCGTCGTTTTTCATCATAAGGCGGAACAATACGTCGATAGCGTTTCAGGATGGAGTCAAGCTTGTGATGTTGGAAATTTGCCCAACGAAATTCCGATCTTAGAATCTCATATACGGCAGCATCAAACTCTTTACGAAGCCATGTGTCAAGCTTATACGGAGGTAATATTCTTTCATTTTGCGATACGTATGGATAGGAAATTTGCCAGATCGTGCAAATTCTTGTTTCTTATTGTTTCTTTTTCTTCCTCTTTTTTTAATCATTCATCTTGTGTGCGAACCACACGCACCTTTGTTTCGTGACAAAATGTAATTCTGCTTTAAATAGCGAATAGAAAGAGAGAGACAGAGAGAAAGAGAGGGAGAGAAAGAGAGAATGAAAGAAATTGTTTCTTGTAACTCGTGATACTCGTGATTCGTATCGTATATCGATGTCCTATGTCCCATACGAAGACAAATACATGTACATATATTTATAGTGAAATATGACAATATTTAACAGGTTTATGACGCGTATCAAGCACTTTTGAGCGGTCTAGGCTCAATGCTGCAAGTTTGTCACAGCTTCGGATCGGCGCACGGTACAAACTCGGATACGTTTCACATCGATGATTATGTATGAAACGATTAGCAATTGTTCTTTTCGTAGCTTCTAACCGATGAATATGCGCTTGGTATGCGGGGGTCTGATAGAGAATAATGTCCTTGAATAAATAATTGGGGTTAGATGGTAAGGTTGTTAACTTTCCGAGAAAGGGGATGGATGCATTGGGAATAAATTTCAAGTTGGTTCGAGACCCGTTCTATTTTCAACGTGGATTCCGTAAATCGTTGAATTTGACGAGTATCAACGACGAATAATATTCGTGGCAGATGTTAAATATGGTTTTGGGTAATCGTTATTGTTTAGGTGCATAGTACCAGTAAGAAGCTTCTTTATCAACTGGATCATCTGGTGCAAGTCTGTAATCAGCCACAAGGGATAGACCATACAGCCAGAAAACATGTACGTTTGTTAGCGGTGCACGAATATACATGTGCATGTCTGCAATACTAATCTTTATCGTTTGCTTTTCGCATCGTTTTCCTTCACCGTGAAATACGCTTCATTTTAGTACTTCATTTGAAAACGTATAGAAAAGCACGCGTCATGCTTTCATCCAACATTCTGCAGTCTGTAAACGTGTGCTTATATCGTTTCTTTTTTTGTTATTGTACTGTGAACGACTTATACTGTTTCTATTTAATCAAATATTTTTATCTTATTTTATCGTGAAGTAAGCACGCGTTACCTGATGACTGCCGTAACATACATAAGTAACAACAGAGCAACAATAATAACAATAACAACAATAATAATAACAATAATAATGATGCATGCAAACTTGAATAGTCATTTAGGTTGCTTTAAGAAAAGAAGAGAACAAAATGATCAAATGGATATGGTAATTGATTTTCTCAGAGTCAAGATGGTCACGGAATCGATGGACATACTGGCATGAGTGGAAATCCAGCAGCAGATTATAGCGAGGGTGCGTCGCACGTGTTGGCAGTGATCCATCAAATTTTGGGTCATCACCGAGCATTGGAAGCTCGTTGGCATGCTAGGAAAGTGAAATTACATCAACGGCTCGCGTTAAGGTAATATGCTCGGCCGATTTTGTTCGACTGTTTATTTGATCGATTTGCGTATATAAGAGTCTACTATAGTCTTTACGTAATTGTTTACAGATTGTTCCAAGAAGACGTAAAACAGGTCCTAGATTGGCTCACCAACCACGGCGAAGTTTTCATTCGAAAGAATACAGGAGTGGGCCGCAATCTTCAGAAAGCGCGAGTCTATCAGAAAAGTCACGAACATTTTGAAAATGTTGCACAGGTAATTTATGGATATAGATTGAATCTAACGAAGATGTTTCAACTGGTTTTTCTTTATCCAGAATACTTATACGAACGCCACTAAGCTGCTTACCGCTGCTCAAGAGTTAGCTCATACTGGAGAATGCGCGGCCGACGAGATATACGCGGTGGCTCAAGAATTGGAAGCACACGTCAGTAGTTTTGCGGCTAGAGTCGAACAACGACGTCGAAGATTAGATTTAGCAGTTGTATTTTATACTCATGAGAAAGAGGTAAAAGAAGAGGATTAGACATTAGCGAAGAAAGCGAGGATCTCACGTTTATGCTTATCTTTGACAGTTGAGCGGTTGGGTCGACGAGTTACGGCAAGAGTTACAACAGGACGAAGTTGCGGAAAATCTGGAAACAGCGGAGCGATTATTAGAGCAGTGTGCGCAACATCGAGCCTCCTGTTTGGAAGCTTGTGCGTCGACTATCGTTCAAGGCGAAGCGTTGCTTCGAGAACTTCGAGAGTCTACCGAAGCTCCCGACAGTACCGGTTCCGTGAGTTTCACTATCTGTACTTCGCCATCGACTTTGCTCGATCGACACGAAACAACCGTGTCTGTTCTCAGATATCTGCGGTAGAGGCTGCGCTCGACAGGTTAGCGGGTTTGAGACAGGAATTGGAAGAATTATGGGCTACCAGGAAATTAAGACTGGAACTGTGTCTGCGGCTGCGTGTATTCGAGAGGGACGCTTTAGAAGCGAGTGGTCAGCTGGAAATGTGGGCGCAAGAATTGCAGGGACCACCCAGAGAGGGTTCTCCCGAACAACTGCTTCGCGTACATAACGATGGGGTTGCCCACATGCAAAACACTGCTTTTCAAGTTCTGCAACAAGGTCAAGAACTCGCTCAAGTAAGTCTCACATATTCTTCAAATTTCTTGATAGAATCAGTTATCTGATCTTTATATTTAAAACCATCCGAAAGAATTGTACAAGATGAAGAATATGTTATCGCAGGTATTGGAACAAGCTGGTGTTTGTATAATGGCGGACGGACAGCACAGTGCTACGGCTAGAGTGCAAGTACTTTTAGAATTTTTAAACGAAAGGGAGATGGACGCGGAGGATTTAGCCGAGATGAGAAGAGTTCGCTTGGAGCAAGCTTCTCAACTGGTTCAATTACAAACCGACGCTACTCACGTAGCTAGTTGGATTCGTAACGGTGAGGCGATGCTCTTAGCTTCTCTGAGAGTTCCGGAAAATCTACAGGACGCTGAACAGCTTCGTTTGGAACACGAACAGTTTCAAGTCGCTATAGAGAAGACTCATACCTCGGCCGTTCAGGTAGATACCGTTTATCAATAGTTGCAAGCGTTACGATTAGACCCGATCATCTTTGTGCTTCGCAGGTGAAACACAGAGCGGACGCTTTGGTGAGCGCGAATCACTATGATCCGAAGAGCATAAGAGAAGTGGCCGAGGATGTGACTAAGAGATGGCAACAACTGGTGACGTGCGCGGAGGAGAGGCATAAATTAGTAACTGCTAGCATTAATTTTTACAAGACGGCCGAACAAGTACGTTCCGTGTTGGATAGTCTCGAACGGGAATACAAACGAGACGAGGATTGGTGTGCTTCTGGCGAAAAAGCTGGACAAGTACCGACGCTCGTTGGCAAGCATCAAGAACAGAAGGAAGCATTTTTAAAAGCGTGCACGTTGGTACGACGAACTGCGGAAACATTCCTCAAGTATACGAACCGCAGTCTTCAGTTTTACAGTTACCAGGCGAATAGCGCTGGTTCTGAGAACAAAGTTAAAAGTTAGTTGGTCGTGTTGTTTTATTTCTACGTATAATATACATATATATCATAAAATCCGATCGATTATCAAACAAGTCGAAATAAAACGATGAACTTGATTTCTTGATTCTTCTCTTTTTCTTTTTTTTTCTTCTTTTCTCGTTTTGCTTTTTTCTCTTTTCTTTTTTGTTCGATGTGTTTATAGTCGCGCGTAAAACGCGCGAAATACACGGAATGACTAACGTTCGTTTAAAAGAAATTCAGAGAATCGATTGTCCGTAAAATGTTGACCGTTCCCGTTGCAGGTATTTTGGAAGAGTTGCTCAGCAAAGAGAACCGAGTGCTCGAATATTGGACGCAACGTAAGAAACGATTGGATCAGTGTCACCAATATGTTCTTTTTGAACGTAGTGCCAAGCAGGCTTTAGAATGGATTCGAGAAACGGGTGAATTATATTTAGCCACGCATACTAACGTTGGCAAGAATCGGATTGAAAATGAGCAATTGCTACGGGAGCATAACGAATTCAAAGGCGCTGCGAAGGTAAGCTTTGCTCCTATCTGCTTCAAATAACTCTATCGAACGGATAACCGATGATCATCGTTGATCATGTTTCTGCGCAGGAAACGAGAGAAAGGGTGAAACTGTTGATACAACTCGCGGACAATTTAGTGGAGAAAGGACACGCTCATGCGGCAGCGATCAAGCAGTCCGTCGCCGAGGTGGACCAGCGGTATAAAGACTTCAGTACGCGCATGGATTGTTACAAAACTCAAATCGAGGATGATCTAGGAATTCAATCCGATGACGGGCAGAAGGATCTGTCGATCGATCGGAATTCGGATCCGTTGCTCGAGGAGAAAATTAAAGGGAAAGACTTGAAAGAGTTGAACGAGGAAAAGAGGAGATCGGCTCGACGCAAAGAGTACGTTTCTTTCTGCCGAAATACGTATGCATGCGTGTGTAGACTACATAAGGTATTCCTGAGAGGAAGAAGGAAAAACAGAGAGTCGCTATCGTTTCTTATTATTCTCTTATTATTTCGACAGATTCATAATGGCTGAGCTGCTACAAACGGAACGAACTTACGTGAAAGATTTGGAAACGTGCATTCGTTGCTTTTTGGAAGAAACACGATGCGGTAAAGGGAACGTTCCATCTGGATTGCAGGGTCGGGAGTCTATAATCTTCAGCAACATGGAAGAGATTCATCAGTTCCATAGCAACGTGTTTCTTCGGGAACTGGAAAAATACGAAACTATGCCGGAAGATGTTGGACATTGTTTCGTAACTTGGGTAAGTACGACAGCGTTGTTGATCGTTCTCATAAAATATGTTTGATTTTATATTTTGAATCTCGTTAGGCACCGAAATTCGACATGTACGTGACGTACTGTAAGAATAAACCGGAAAGCAATCAGTTGTTAGTTACTCACGGTGGAACATGGTTCGAGGAATTGCAAAGGAAACATCGAGTCGAACATCCGATTGCCGCGTATCTAATTAAACCCGTTCAAAGAATTACGAAATACCAGTTATTGCTGAAAGACCTTCAGGTACGTGATCGAATTAGAAGATTCTGTTTGTCAGTCTGTCGAACGTTTAAAGAATATTCGTACAAGTTTTTCGTTTGGATCTAATCATTCTTCTCCGACGAACGCTACAGGCTTGCTGCCAGGAGGGACAGGGCGAAATAAAGGACGGGTTAGAAGTGATGTTAAACGTGCCTAAGAAAGCGAACGATGCCTTACATTTGAGCATGCTAGAAGGTTGCGACGTGAGAATAGACACGTTAGGCGACGTAGTATTGCAAGATTCTTTTACGGTTTGGGATCCTAAACAATTGATCAGAAAAGGCAGAGATCGGCACATATTTTTGTTCGAGTTGTACCTACTATTTAGCAAAGAGGTTAAAGATTCTGCCGGGAAGGTAGGTAAAGGATGTGGAATCATAATTGAACCTTTATAGTGAAATCTTCTAAAACTTTTGTCTCGTTGGTCACGACAGGTCAAGTATATTTATAAAAGTCGTCTGATGACTTCCGAACTGGGTGTAACCGAGCACATCGAAGGAGACGAGTGCAAGTTCGCCGTTTGGACCGGTCGAGCACCTACCAGCGATACGCGCGTTGTTCTCCGCGCTAATTCCATGGACGCCAAACAACTCTGGGTGAAGCGATTGCGGGAAGTTATCCAGGAGACGTACTTCAGTTTGAGCATGCCGAAGAGTCCCGCCAAGAAGAGTTCGAGTCAACGTTCCAGCAGAGATCTCGAGGAGTGCGCTTCCCTGGACGACAGCGTCGAGAATCTGGACAGAAATTCACTGGCATCGTTCGGTTCTACGAACACCACGGACTCCGACAAGGTAAGCTATACTACTGATTCCCTGAGTTAAGGGAAGGAGAGTTAACTGAGGAGAGATCAAATGATGTTTTCACCGTATTTTCGCGCCGTTTTGTTGGGGCGAATACAAGGAAGGACTATGCAAATTACGAACGGTTTCGTTTACGGTGAACGCCTACGATAAGCAGCAGGTGAAAAGGATGAAAGCGGTATTAGGACGACGCTCTTCCTCGATTCGAGCGTCGTTTGACAGAGTAGGGTAACGCGACGCGGAGCGAGGTGAGGCGCGAGCGAGAGAAGCGGAGGATTTTTGGGTGGGGTTCGAGAATAATCGAAAAGCGAGGAAACGCTGATTTTATATTTTGAATCTCGTTAGGCACCGAAATTCGACATGTACGTGACGTACTGTAAGAATAAACCGGAAAGCAATCAGTTGTTAGTTACTCACGGTGGAACATGGTTCGAGGAATTGCAAAGGAAACATCGAGTCGAACATCCGATTGCCGCGTATCTAATTAAACCCGTTCAAAGAATTACGAAATACCAGTTATTGCTGAAAGACCTTCAGGTACGTGATCGAATTAGAAGATTCTGTTTGTCAGTCTGTCGAACGTTTAAAGAATATTCGTACAAGTTTTTCGTTTGGATCTAATCATTCTTCTCCGACGAACGCTACAGGCTTGCTGCCAGGAGGGACAGGGCGAAATAAAGGACGGGTTAGAAGTGATGTTAAACGTGCCTAAGAAAGCGAACGATGCCTTACATTTGAGCATGCTAGAAGGTTGCGACGTGAGAATAGACACGTTAGGCGACGTAGTATTGCAAGATTCTTTTACGGTTTGGGATCCTAAACAATTGATCAGAAAAGGCAGAGATCGGCACATATTTTTGTTCGAGTTGTACCTACTATTTAGCAAAGAGGTTAAAGATTCTGCCGGGAAGGTAGGTAAAGGATGTGGAATCATAATTGAACCTTTATAGTGAAATCTTCTAAAACTTTTGTCTCGTTGGTCACGACAGGTCAAGTATATTTATAAAAGTCGTCTGATGACTTCCGAACTGGGTGTAACCGAGCACATCGAAGGAGACGAGTGCAAGTTCGCCGTTTGGACCGGTCGAGCACCTACCAGCGATACGCGCGTTGTTCTCCGCGCTAATTCCATGGACGCCAAACAACTCTGGGTGAAGCGATTGCGGGAAGTTATCCAGGAGACGTACTTCAGTTTGAGCATGCCGAAGAGTCCCGCCAAGAAGAGTTCGAGTCAACGTTCCAGCAGAGATCTCGAGGAGTGCGCTTCCCTGGACGACAGCGTCGAGAATCTGGACAGAAATTCACTGGCATCGTTCGGTTCTACGAACACCACGGACTCCGACAAGGTAAGCTATACTACTGATTCCCTGAGTTAAGGGAAGGAGAGTTAACTGAGGAGAGATCAAATGATGTTTTCACCGTATTTTCGCGCCGTTTTGTTGGGGCGAATACAAGGAAGGACTATGCAAATTACGAACGGTTTCGTTTACGGTGAACGCCTACGATAAGCAGCAGGTGAAAAGGATGAAAGCGGTATTAGGACGACGCTCTTCCTCGATTCGAGCGTCGTTTGACAGAGTAGGGTAACGCGACGCGGAGCGAGGTGAGGCGCGAGCGAGAGAAGCGGAGGATTTTTGGGTGGGGTTCGAGAATAATCGAAAAGCGAGGAAACGCGCTCGCGAGCAAGCGCGCTGGGACTGCGGTAGCGAGGGTGACGGCGGCGGCGCGTGCACGGCAAGGTTCACGAAGAAATAAAAAAGGGATGGGGTGAAGCGGTGTCGTTCGCGTTGCAAGGGGCGCGGGGCGAGAATACGCGAGGGCGCGGAGGATGTGCAGCAGCAGCCGCAGCAGAGCAAGAGGAGGAGGAGGAGGTGGTGGTGGTGGCAAAGGCGAGGAAGGAGAGGGCGGCAACGGGAGGGTATCAGGGACGATAGGTAACGGGATCAGTACGGACGCGACGCTTGGGTCGAATGGATCCGTTCGATGGCGAGCGCAGCGAATCGTTGGACGAGTCTTTTCGACCTGTCAAGAAACGCGAATAACCGCATCGAGGAAAGCATGTCGGTCGTACGTTCGACGAGATCTTTGCTCGCGTTTCTAGTTTCTTCCGGCCGGTTGTCGCGTTCGCGCACGTGAATCGAAACGTACGAGAGTAAACTGTCATGACGTCACCGGCAGGAAAACCTGCAACGAACGTCCAGAAACCCCGCAGGAAGATCTCGTTACCTTGGTTCCGTCAGAGTTCGGTGGCACAGCCACATGCAGCCCTCTCGAGGCAGCACACCATCGACACCCCCGGCTCGTTTCAAGCTCGGCGCTTGCACCGTCAACCCTCCCTTTCCCAGGTACTCGAGGTACTCTCGTCCGAGTTCCAACCTTCTTCTTTCATTTTCTGTTGCGCCTAAAACCTGCGATCATCGTTCTAGGGTCAACGTATTTCTCTCCGCAGTTACAAATTTTCCCGACCTGAACGATCTCTTTTCGTCGGTGTCGCGCTTATGAATTAGCATCGCGTGACGAAACCACTCGGAGTATACGCGTAAATTTGAAAAGCCTACGCGTTCCAAGTAAAATTAGACGGCGTAGTAGGAAACGAGTGCGGTTCGTACGGCGACGCGCGCGCGCGAGCGCACATTCGTGTCCGCGTTCCTGTTTGCCTAACCGCATCCGCGCTTGTTCCTGTATCCGTACTACGAATCGTTTCCCGTTGTCCCCGTTTCCTTTCGATTCTTTTAATTGCTCCGAGAAACGCGGTCGATCGTTCCTCGTCGTAAGATTACGCCATGGGGTCGCGTTCTTTTTACCCGACTAACTTTCCTCCATCGATCGTCTCGATACGAAACAACTTTCCGACTACTTCGACATTCGTATTGCGCTTTTTCTTTATGATATCTTGAATACTTTTCGACATACACATCCGCTAGCGATTCGTGAGTTTGCCATGATAAATTCACCGTAATCGATAGCCTTGCGATTAACCCGTTATCGCGATAACGATTTATCGAAGAGTTTGGGCTATCAAATATGTTATAGAAACATATCGAAAGGAAACGAAACGAAACCGCGTTTCGAGGCCAAATCGAGATTGGCTCGCTGCCGAGTTACGTTCGAATCTATGGTTAGATTCCGACGTAAACGCGAACTGTACCTGCGTCGAATCTCGCGTTAGATGGAAAACGATAGTTACAGCTCGTTAAGTCGACTCGAGGACGATTCCTCGAATCGCGACAATTTTTTCTTCCGTCAACGATCGACGCCGGGAAGTTTCGAAGAGGATCGGTAAAATTTGGCACGTGGAAAAAGGCTATTTTCGTCGATGGAACGCGAGAGGCTCCCTGGCTCGATTCTAGAACCGTGATCGTAGTCGGAATTCGTATCGAAACACGGATCGTTCATAAACGATTTGTCGTCATACGGAAATGGATATTTTCCTTTATTTGCTTTTGTATGTGTTCGATGTTTATTGCAACCGGTTATACGCCTTATGTCTGCTCATCTCCGATAACGTAACAATAACTTGAATACACAATGTTATTAACGCTAGCTTTACGGACGTTCATTGTGCACTTTTAGACGGAAAACAAATATACGAGCGAAGCTTGATTTATACAATTATTATAGACAGACTTATGCTTTGGTTTTGTTAATTTTTGTAATTTTAGGAAATTTAAAATGTAACTTTTTCATGCGTTTTGTAAATTGAATGTTGATAATGAATTCGATAAGCAAACTTCTTTTTTGTAATTCAAAATGTATGGTTTGAGAACAGAAGTTAAAATGAATTTGATTAGCAAACGTTTGCTTTGTAATTCAAAATGTGTTTTTTAAGGACAGGAGTCAAAATGTATTATAAAATGTATTAGTCTGGTCTCAAGTTTTAAGAACAGCAGTCAAAATATATTATAAAATGTATTATTCTGGTCTCAAACTTTAAGAACAGCAGTCAAAATGTATTATAAAATGTATTAGTCTGGTCTCAAGTTTTAAGAACAGAAATCAAAACGTATTCGATGAGCAACTTCTGCTTTGTAACTCAAAATGTGTTTTTTAAAGACAGGAGTCAAACTGTATTATAAAATGTATTAGTCTGGTCTCAAGTTTTAAGAACAGAAATCAAAACGTATTCGATGAGCAACTTCTGCTTTGTAACTCAAAATGTGTTTTTTAAAGACAGGAGTCAAACTGTATTATAAAATGTATTAGTCTGGTCTCAAGTTTTAAGAACAGAAATCAAAACGTATTCGATGAGCAACTTCTGCTTTGTAACTCAAAATGTGTTTTTTAAAGACAGGAGTCAAACTGTATTATAAAATGTATTAGTCTGGTCTCAAGTTTTAAGAACAGAAATCAAAACGTATTCGATGAGCAACTTCTGCTTTGTAACTCAAAATGTGTTTTTTAAAGACAGGAGTCAAACTGTATTATAAAATGTATTAGTCTGGTCTCAAGTTTTAAGAACAGAAATCAAAACGTATTCGATGAGCAACTTCTGCTTTGTAACTCAAAATGTGTTTTTTAAAGACAGGAGTCAAACTGTATTATAAAATGTATTAGTCTGGTCTCAAGTTTTAAGAACAGAAATCAAAACGTATTCGATGAGCAACTTCTGCTTTGTAACTCAAAATGTGTTTTTTAAAGACAGGAGTCAAACTGTATTATAAAATGTATTAGTCTGGTCTCAAGTTTTAAGAACAGAAATCAAAACGTATTCGATGAGCAACTTCTGCTTTGTAACTCAAAATGTGTTTTTTAAAGACAGGAGTCAAACTGTATTATAAAATGTATTAGTCTGGTCTCAAGTTTTAAGAACAGAAATCAAAACGTATTCGATGAGCAACTTCTGCTTTGTAACTCAAAATGTGTTTTTTAAAGACAGGAGTCAAACTGTATTATAAAATGTATTAGTCTGGTCTCAAGTTTTAAGAACAGAAATCAAAACGTATTCGATGAGCAACTTCTGCTTTGTAACTCAAAATGTGTTTTTTAAAGACAGGAGTCAAACTGTATTATAAAATGTATTAGTCTGGTCTCAAGTTTTAAGAACAGAAATCAAAACGTATTCGATGAGCAACTTCTGCTTTGTAACTCAAAATGTGTTTTTTAAAGACAGGAGTCAAAATGTATTATAAAATGTATTAGTCTGGTCTCAAGTTTTAAGGACAGCAGTCAAAATGTATTATAAAATGTATTAGTCTGTTCTTATATTTTAAGACCAGAAGTAATGCAGAGTTTCGTACTTGATACCGATAGCAACATTTAATGTGTACATACAGATTTTTTATCTAGCAATTTGATCAGTTTGACAGAGCTCTTGAAGTTTCAATAAAAATGTCTGATACGAAACCAGACTACAAACCTGCTATCGTAAGATTGTTCTTATTAGAAGCAGCACTGTATGAGAATGTATAGAAGTAGATTTGATGATGTTCAGCTAGTGTGCTGTTAAATGAGCGACAAGTTTAACAACAAAGTATCTGATCATCGACGTTGAACATCGAATCATCCATATTATTAGACCTGATGCACACGAGCGACTTTTTTTCATAAATCTTCTCTCGATTAAAATGAAGACAAATCCCAAAAGTGTCTCTCGCATCTTAATGTTAATACTAAAATAAAGTACAATGAATGTTCGATAGATGATCGTTAACTTTTCATAGTAGAGTAAAAGAAAAACAAGATACGAATGAATCGAAAGAATAAGGGCGAAGAAGAGAGAGGAGAGTCGAAGGGTAGATCGACGGAATAGAGCAGGCCGATTGTCTTTGACTTTGCGGACCGATGGAGCGTTCGATAGATTATTCTAGCTCCAGTGATTTCAATTTTATCGAAATAGCCTGCCTCCGATAAAGGCACGCGTTGACACCTGTTTCTTCCTTCCGAAAATACATAACGGAGCAAACGTTCCAAACTCTTCTTTCCTTTTCTTTCGAATATTTGCTTTTCTCGTACCATGGCGCCGTTTCGTAAACTTCCTCGACACGCTTTTCGGAAACCTCGAATCTAGACCGCTGCGTTTTATTTATCGAAAAATAACTTTCGATCATCAGCTTTGAAAGAATAATTGTGTACGTGTCGACGCCTCGTGTAAACATCGTAACTTCTGTTGTGGACTTTTACTAGGATACAAACATGTTTAAAAAAATCCTGAAATCTAGTTTCGTTCACTCATTCTAGTCGAGCGTTCACGGTTTTTATCGGACGGTACTAATAATAACTTATTTTCTTTCATCTTTTCAGTAAATATGATGCTATAGCGTGTTTGCTCTAATGAGAACATCATCAGATGAACTCCCAACGCATTCTTATAATCATGTGCACATATTAACTGCATCAGTATAGCATCAGTACTCTTGCACATCAATAACATGAATGATACCATGTCAATTTTTATGTAGTTCAAGTACTTTGATTTTCAAGATTGTCTCTCGCTTAACAACACCTCACCTGAACATCATCAGATGAATTCCCAACGCATTCTTATAATCATGTGCACATATTAACTGCATCAGTATAGTATCAGTACTCTTGCACATCAATAACATGAATGATACCATGTCAATTTTTATGTAGTTCAAGTACTTTGATTTTCAAGATTGTCTCTCGCTTAACAACACCTCACCTGAACATCATCAGATGAATTCCCAACGCATTCTTATAATCATGTGCACATATTAACTGCATCAGTATAGTATCAGTACTCTTGCACATCAATAACATGAATGATACCATGTCAATTTTTATGTAGTTCAAGTACTTTGATTTTCAAGATTGTCTCTCGCTTAACAACACCTCACCTGAACATCATCAGATGAATTCCCAACGCATTCTTATAATCATGTGCACATATTAACTGCATCAGTATAGTATCAGTACTCTTGCACATCAATAACATGAATGATACCATGTCAATTTTTATGTAGTTCAAGTACTTTGATTTTCAAGATTGTCTCTCGCTTAACAACACCTCACCTGAACATCATCAGATGAATTCCCAACGCATTCTTATAATCATGTGCACATATTAACTGCATCAGTATAGCATCAGTACTCTTGCACATCAATAACATGAATGATACCATGTCAATTTTTATGTAGTTCAAGTACTTTGATTTTCAAGATTGTCTCTCGCTTAACAACACCTCACCTGAACATCATCAGATGAATTCCCAACGCATTCTTATAATCATGTGTACATATTAACTGCATCAGTATAGTATCAGTACTCTTGCACATCAATAATATGAATGATACCATGTCAATTTTTATGTAGTTCAAGTACTTTGATTTTCAAGATTGTCTCTCGCTTAACAACACCTCACCTGAACATCATCAGCCTTACCCCAATACATTCTTATAATCATGCACATATATTAACCCCTTACTATGGCTTATTTGTCAAGTACGTCAGTCAGAACTGACGAATTACAACTACAATATTAAAACAGACAAAAAAATTTGGAATTTTATGTCAATATGTTATAATGCAATCGTTGACTATGCAAATTGCACTTGAACTTCAAATTGAAGCATACTAAAAATTCGAGTAAAATTGATCAGGGCCGAAGTACGAGTATGTCACGAGTCACACTCGTCAAAGTAGTGCAAGGGGTTAAAAGCATCCGCACTCTTACATTAATAACATAATACACTACTCAGGTGCAGTGCTATTGAACCTTAATGATCTTAATCTTAATAATTAACCCATAATCTCCGATATTGTGTCCAAGACCTAATTTCACCTCTAATTTCAGACCGGCGTAGCCGAAGTGACCTGGGTAATCGCGGACCACTTGGCGGCCCCAGGATCCCGCGAGCTGACGGTAACGAAGGGTCAACAGGTGGAAGTCTTAGAAAATGGAAGTAACGCGAGCGGAGTAAACGCGCCGGAATGGACTCACGTGCGACTTCTAGTAGCTCCGGGGCAAGTGGATCCTCCTCCGGAAGGACTGGTGCCTACCAGTGCTCTCAAGCAGCCACCGCCCGTCTCCAGCAAGACTTCGCCGTCTAGAAAAGCTCCGGTGCAACAACCGCAGCAGCAGTATCATCAGCAGCATCATCAACAGCTATCTAGCAATCAAGTTCAGAGCACCTCGCCGAGCGGGATCGTATCGGCTGTAGTTTCGTCGGCCGCGATTGTAACCGGGGGTTCCTCTTCGTGCTCCTCTTTGTCGTCTTCGTCCACCGGCGCGTCGTCGATCGGATCGAATCTGCAGAACGTAGTTACGCCTCTGTTGCCGGACGAAGGTTGGTTGATTTAATGCACTCGAAAATTTTGGTATTTGGAGGAAGAACGAAATGTTCGAGTGCGAAGGGAATTGAGAATCTTGAAGTTAATTTTTTCACGGTGTCGCACTCTGATTCGTCGGGTCAGATCGATGCGACGTACCGGGATAAACGTGTCCTTGACCGGTTGCGTCTTCAGGTGATGCGCCAGCGGAACCAAGTTGCGACGCATCATGCAGTGATGGTCGTTATCCTCTCTTTCGCTTCTCCCACGAATCACCATTTCGGTTATTTGTTTAAGCAATGCCTAACACCGCTGTATCTGCAACGTTTACGATCGTGGATGCGATTCTTGGTGAAAGAAAATACACGCTTCTTGTTTTTTTAATTTTTACATCTCTCACTCGGTTAAACATTTTGCTAAAACTTTTGCGTCCTTAGTTTTTTGTACTTCCGTCATAAGATGAGTGTTAAATATTTAGAGAAGCAAATTTTTCCTTTTTCGATGCGACCCGTAAACGCTGTAACTAATTGTTCGCTCTTGCGGAAATTACGTGCAAAACAAGCGTTACACTTTTCGCTTAACCTATCAGCCCTATTTTTTTAGTATCCTTTCAAAGTTCATCTCTCGGTGAATATCTTAGGAACTCGATCGATCAGAAGCGATTGTATTCAAATTATTTATCAATTTATTTATTTGTACCGATAGTAATCAATTTCTCTGGAATTTGATTTTACTCGAATGCGATGTAACCGTCGTTCGTTCTGTCCGTAGAGAGCGTAATCGCGAATGATGGAAGCACCGGTGCGAACACGAGCTCCCCAGGGAACAAGCGACGCGGGTTCAGCGGGTAAGCGAGCGATGCGCGACGAACGCGAAATATGTGTCCAAAGATAAGCCTAACGACCGTTTGGTTTCGTTCGTAGGAGAAAGTGGCTACCCCCGCCATTGCGTAAACTCAGCCAAGGTAAAGTGGAGAAATCGACCGCAACCGCGACTACGACTGCAACCTCAATATTGTCGACAACGGGAACAGCAACGGCAGCGGCGGCAGCGACCACGGTTCCCGAACGTCCCTCGAAGAAGAACGTTTCCGAGAAACGATTCAAACTACCGAGCGGCGCCGAACAGACTCGGGTGTCCGGACCAGCCAGACCATCCAGAGCCGCCTCCGTTTCCGTATCGACTTTAACGTCCGCGGCCGCGTCTATGCGCGTATCCGCTTCGGTGTCCAAAGATTACGACGCCGAACTCGCTCGAACCGCTGTCGAGGCGGAAACGGAAGAGGAGGAAGGAGAGATCGAGCAGTCGGAGGCCGAGTTAGAGGAATACGTTGCCGAACCCGACGACGCGGAGGCTTCCACTTACTCGGAACAGAACGGAGCGGACGATGTCGAAGACGAATTGGAACTACCGCCACCGATGAAACCCATCACCGAACCGATACTCGTAGGAACTGCCAACGGATCCACCGGCTCTACCATTCCAACCGAAGGCTGCGGGAAATCTCGAGTAAGCGTCGTGATTCTTTTTCTTCGCTTTCCGATGTGTCGCGACGCGATAAAATACCGGAAGTGCTTATCGGTTTGGTTTACTTTTCGCAGACTTCCGAACGGTCCACAAAGATTCTCGACGGTGCTACAACGGCCGACTTGGCTGAAATCGAACAGATCGTAAAGGAAAGGATGGTAAGATCGAATGAAATTGTGATTAATCTCCTCAAGAATATTTAGACTTTTATTTTGTATATTAAACTCTTTTCAAATTTATAACAAACGAATGTTAAATCTTAACTTCGTTGATGCCTACAACAGGAACAGCACACGGAAAATCTGGAGCGACAAAGCCTCATGAGAACACCTAGCGGTAAAAGTTCGTCGAACGTCGGTATCGGCGATGAAGCCTGCGAGGAAGGAGACTCTCTGTCGTCAGGGGTGTCTAGCGGTATCGGTGGTGCGATCATGATCCCGTCGACGGCTGCGACACCGACGCCTTCATCGACTCCAAGCTCGACAGCTACCGCGACAACGAGTAGTCCGGCTCGCAATCCAGATCAACACGACGTGGAGAGTACAGCTCTCGCGAAACGACAATTCGTTATCCGAGAGTTGGTGGAGACGGAGAAGGATTATGTGAACGATTTGAAGCAAATAGTCGAAGGATACATGGCGTTGATGCGAGATCCCGATTGCGAGATTCCTTTACCGGATGATCTACGCGGTGGGAAGGACAAGATGGTATTCGGAAATATAGAGGCGATTTACGAGTGGCATAGAGAGTAAGTATTCTCAATCTTGTAAGTGCTCTCGATATTATTCAAGCGATACGTTTCTTTAATTTACCATCTTACAGCTTCTTCCTGAAAGCTTTGGAGCGCTGTTTGGAACGACCCGAAGAACTTGGCCCGCTGTTTAAACGGTATGAAAGAAAGTTGCACGTGTACGTGGTCTATTGTCAGAATAAACCAGTCTCCGAATACATCGTCTCTGAATATATCGACACTTATTTCGAAGTAAGTTGAAAGATTCTTTTGTATGTTATTCTTGTACCTATACGTTCGTGCACGCCTTTGTTCAGGAGCTGAGACAGAAGCTCGGACATCGATTGCAGTTATGCGATCTTTTGATAAAACCAGTTCAGAGGATCACGAAATACCAATTGCTTCTTCGAGAGGCCTTGAGACTCACCGAGCGGACTCAGAGGATTTCGGAAATAGAAGGTCTCAGAGCTGCGGTTCACGTGATGCGCGTCATTCCAAAAGCGGCCAACGACATGATGGATGTTGGCAGACTTCAAGGTTTCGACGTGAGTGTTCTCCGATACGAAACAGCTCTATATTAAACTTTCCTCCTTATATTTTTATTTCTCCGGGCGCGACCGCCTACGTCGCTATTCGTTTTTCGAGATGATTTGTTTGCGCTGTTTAGGGAAAGATTACGGCGCAAGGGAAATTGCTGTTACACGGACCTCTTTTGGTAGCAGAATTGTCCAGTTTACCGAGCAAAGGAAGAGAGTGGCAAGTCTTCCTTTTCGAGCAAAATATTATTTTCAGCGAGACTGTTGGGAAGAAAACGCAATTTACCAACCCCGCCTACATCTACAAGGCTCATATTCAGGTAAACAACGATGAGAAATGGATCCGCATGAACATTCTTTCTTTCTCGTTTACTATACGACTTAGAAAATTCTGAAGATCAAACGCGTTCGTATTTGTAATGTATCGAATATGTATATTTATTTTGAAAGTCGTAGTCTAATGCTGTTAAAATGAGTGAAAGTGAAAACGAGTAAGGTTCGATAATGATTTTTTTGACGATTACGCAGGTGAATAAGATGAGCCTGGAAGAATGTTACGACGACCCGGACAAATTCGTGATTCGATCGACCGATCCTCGGAAGCCTGGCCTTGGATTTTCTTGTAGCGCGATCGAAGAGAACGGGCCGCGAAAGCAGGACTGGGTGGACACGATCACTGCCATCCTGCAAACTCAACGCGACTTCCTCAAGGCGATACAGTCGCCGATTGCCTACCAAAAGGAACTTACCAAAGATCCATTGTAAGCGTCATTCTATTTAACACACTGAATTACACGTTGACTCTCTTTCAACGCTCGTCGTGCGAAGATTCGTTTCAACATATTTTTGTATATTTCGTATATTATATGTATATATATGTATATACATACCGTATATTCCGTATGTATACATATATATATGTATAAAGAAGAAAAGAAGAAAGATACAGAAGCGCCTGTACGCTAGAGAACCGTAGTCGTTTCCTAAGCTAAAATCCGATTTCATCTCCGCTTTCCTTTCGTTCTGTTCCTCTACTTTACCTCACGGTGTATTCTTTAATCACGCTCCACGCGCACAGTACTATCACCGTATTGCGACGCGCTTCCTCTCGTTTGCCTTAACATCGCGGTCTGGGAATCTACCTCGCTATCGCTGCTGAGTGGCTTTATCGCGAGAGCGTCTTCTACTATATTCTATATATATATACACATATATGTACGAGCACGTGAGTTAATATAACTCGCGCGAGAAAGTACGCTATACAAATTTTATTTCTACGAGACTACGAACGCGTTTACGCGAGGCCGGACATTAGGCGAACGCTGATTCTGCCTCGCGATGTCGGCGATACAGATTTCTGTGTATCAGCACTATATATATGTATGTATATATATACGTATATATATACATATACATAGCTACCTACCTCCTTTGGAGTAGTTTTTAACGTTTCCTAGAATCGTGTTTGCTACGGTTCTTTGAAACTCGATGCTATGCAATGCAATGCGATGCAATGCAATGCAATGAAGTACACTATTACGGCAGTTGCAACGATGGTACACGATGGTAGAACGCGGTACAAAGCGTTGCGTTGCGTTGCGTTGCAATGCGATGCGATGCGGAGCGATACGATATGATGCGATGCGATGCGATACAAAGCGTTGCGATGAGATGCAACGTCGACTAAACGGACTGTTCTTTCTCGGCTATGTATTGGCACGCGCGTGCAGGTGGGGGGTAGGTATAACGAGATGTATCCACTCGCACTCACCGAATCCTCGTCACTACTCCCTTGCAACCTGTTCGCTGACAAAAATGGTGAATAAGCGTGTCCGTTGCATGTTTCGTTTAACGCGAATTATGTATTTGTTGGTCACGTGTTTGCATGTACTCTCTGCGCGTGTGTGCGTGTAGAAAAGGGGGTGGGGGCGAGAGAACGACAACAACAATTTTTCATCGCAGGATACGAACGAAACGTACAGTTATCGTCGAACGAACGATCCTAAGATCGAACGACGACGACGAAATTCCATTAACGTTATTCGATCGTTTCCTTCGTCTTTTCGGTTCAACCAACACGCGTAAGTCGACGGGAAAGACGAAGAGAAACGCGTTCAAAGCTGGAATACGTAGGAGCGAGAAAGCGCGTATACGCAAAATGTAAAATATCGACGCGTTATCCGACAGGTTGACTCACCCCCACCAACAAATAACATTACTGGTTAACGACGTAACCTTGCGAGCGTATAACAATTCGAATAATGTCCGTAAACGCGCGAGATCGAACGAATCGGGGATGGTACGCTGTACATATTGCGCATTCGCGAAACACGACGACCCAAAGCGAAACTAATGACTCGCGAACCGTAAACATTTTGTTTAGAATAAATTGTACATTGGTCAACGTTCTAATTGTGATGCGTCCTTTCCTACGCCTCTTTAACGCTACTTACTTTTCGGTTCACTAACAGCTTGTTTTTACCCTGGCAAGAACAAGGTACTGCATTGACCATTCACGAAACTTTTCAACGTTCTTCACGACCCACTTTTTTAACCTTCGCACGATTAACGGGACAACAATGTACGGCTAAGGAAGAGAATCTCAAGGATGCGCGAGCGTTGATTCGGATCAGACTCTGTTTAAGAGCGCAAAGAGACCGCGTAATTCATAAAATGCAGTGCCGTGTTTGAATTTTATTTATGATTTGCTGGCGTACACAGTCGTGGCGTGAGTCCGGAATCTCCGTGTCGAGGACTTTCTACGAGCCTGTCTAAGACAAGCGACGACGAAAGAAACGAAATCGCAGCTCGTATTGGCACGCGCGTGCAGGTGGGGGGTAGGTATAACGAGATGTATCCACTCGCACTCACCGAATCCTCGTCACTACTCCCTTGCAACCTGTTCGCTGACAAAAATGGTGAATAAGCGTGTCCGTTGCATGTTTCGTTTAACGCGAATTATGTATTTGTTGGTCACGTGTTTGCATGTACTCTCTGCGCGTGTGTGCGTGTAGAAAAGGGGGTGGGGGCGAGAGAACGACAACAACAATTTTTCATCGCAGGATACGAACGAAACGTACAGTTATCGTCGAACGAACGATCCTAAGATCGAACGACGACGACGAAATTCCATTAACGTTATTCGATCGTTTCCTTCGTCTTTTCGGTTCAACCAACACGCGTAAGTCGACGGGAAAGACGAAGAGAAACGCGTTCAAAGCTGGAATACGTAGGAGCGAGAAAGCGCGTATACGCAAAATGTAAAATATCGACGCGTTATCCGACAGGTTGACTCACCCCCACCAACAAATAACATTACTGGTTAACGACGTAACCTTGCGAGCGTATAACAATTCGAATAATGTCCGTAAACGCGCGAGATCGAACGAATCGGGGATGGTACGCTGTACATATTGCGCATTCGCGAAACACGACGACCCAAAGCGAAACTAATGACTCGCGAACCGTAAACATTTTGTTTAGAATAAATTGTACATTGGTCAACGTTCTAATTGTGATGCGTCCTTTCCTACGCCTCTTTAACGCTACTTACTTTTCGGTTCACTAACAGCTTGTTTTTACCCTGGCAAGAACAAGGTACTGCATTGACCATTCACGAAACTTTTCAACGTTCTTCACGACCCACTTTTTTAACCTTCGCACGATTAACGGGACAACAATGTACGGCTAAGGAAGAGAATCTCAAGGATGCGCGAGCGTTGATTCGGATCAGACTCTGTTTAAGAGCGCAAAGAGACCGCGTAATTCATAAAATGCAGTGCCGTGTTTGAATTTTATTTATGATTTGCTGGCGTACACAGTCGTGGCGTGAGTCCGGAATCTCCGTGTCGAGGACTTTCTACGAGCCTGTCTAAGACAAGCGACGACGAAAGAAACGAAATCGCAGCTCCCCGAACCGCGACGACGACGACGGCGGCGACAACGGCGGCTCAACGGTCCCGCACCGCCGGAGTTTCGGATCAGGAACCTTCGCAAACGCCGAGCCCTAGCAAAAGCAGATTGAATTTTCTCGAGGGATTTAAGAGCAGCCTCCGGCCTCGATCGCCCGTTCGCAACAATTCTATCCCGGTGAGCACGCCTATTCGAAATTATTCATACCTTTTTACTCTACGCGCGCTATTCTATTTGCCTGTTCGTAATTAAACCTATTGCAATTGCAGCAAAAGGATTCTTCTTTCTCCTCCTCCTCTTGATGCCTGTTGCTACTCGCTCGCTCTCTATCGCGTAGTTTTTCCTTGGTACGCCGACGGCTCTTCCTACGTTTTCCACCCAAACGAAACGATGCTACGAAGGATCACGATATCGTATCGTACAGGTTGGAACTTTATCCTATTCGCAACGGATGTTACTTTTACGCTTAGCGATTCGAACGCTTTCCTATCTAAGTTGCTTCTCGCTATCTGCTCTCTGTCGTCGACCGTTTTCGTCGTCATCGTCGTTGTCAGAGACCGTCGCAGCCATCGTCGTCTGTCTCGTCGTCGTCGTCGTCGATATTCTATCGCTTCATTCGCAGCTTTTCTCAAGGTAATTTTCCTGCTCGACGATATCGACATAGTTTACTGACTCCTTATGTATACGACGTCTGGTTTCTCTCAAAGTATGGCACTATAAGGTGAAATTCCGGTTGTAGGTTCGATGACACTCTTGGTGAACTATCGAACGTTACAAGATTAAATCTGTTCAAGAGCACTTTTCACACCTTATCCTGCTGTACCAGGACCGTCCAAATCTCCTATAGCTGAGGGCGCTTATAGCGTGATAAGATAGGGGAACATTCAAACCATTCCACATTTTCTTCTTTCAACGTTTGACATCGCGAAGATATTTTCAGTCGATTTCCTTCGAGATCAGCTTCAAGTACACCCGTTGTAAGATGAGCTCTAAGAAATTTTGAGAAGTAACTCTTTTGTTTCTTGCTGCGATTGTATGTGACAATTGTAACTATTCACTCGTGTCGAAAATAAGGCACCTTGCATTTTAATCACTCACAGTACCTTTAGGTATAATAGAAGGGCTCAGCTCCGTAGCAGAAATATTGGACGGTCCTGTGGCATACCGTTTTCGTCTGTTTTCGAAGGAAGAAGCAGCGAGTGGAAGAGTGGTTCGAGGGTATACGGTAGAAGGGTTCGGTGCATGGTGGTGATGATGATGATGACGAGGAAAAAGCTTAGGAAAGTGTTCAAAGTTAACCGGGAGATTCGGTAGATCGTTGCAGGTAGCAGAGTAAGATTAACCGCTGATTGGGGCAAGTTACGCGGCGGAGAAGAGGTGGAGATCTCGCGAGTGGACGGTCCAGGACTGATCGTTCGACGAACGATCGGAAGAAAGGAGGAATTTTGGATACCGGCGAGTCTCGTACCGAATTCGTCTCACAGCCGCGCATGGTCTTTTCGGCCGCGAAGAATCGATTCCGAGGGAGAGAACGTCCGTCTTCCGCAGGACGCGCGCGCGGAAGAGAACGGTCCTCCCACGATCTTGACTATTCCGTGTTCGATCAGGGCGACGGCCGGTGGGGTGGCTCGGCTCGTGCTGGAGGCGCGTCGCGTGGAGCGCGCAACCGTCCGCTGGAGGAAGGAGGGACAACGATCTAACATCGAGGGAGGCGATCGACATCGACTTTTCCGGACGTCCGATTCCCTTTCTCTCGAAATCGCTCCTTGCCTGCCATCGGACTCCGGGATTTATCACTGTCGCGTCGAACACGAAACGGGCTCTTGTTCGGCCAAGATTCCCCTTCGCGTCGTAGGTATGTCCCATCCCTTACCATATACCGGGACAAATTTTATTCTTAACACTAAAATTACCACAAAGATCTTATAACCCTTGTACAAGTTTTTCATTTTGACTCATAAAATTTGTTAAAACTTTATTTAGAATCTTTGATAATCTTCATGAAGACAAAGAAGTTCATATAACTCTTGTACAAGTTTTCCATTTTAACTTATAAAATTTGTTAAAACTTTCTTTAGAATCTTTGCTAATCTTCATGAAGACAAAGAAGTTCATATAACCCTTGTATATGTTTTTCATTTTAACTTACAAAATTTGTTAAAATTTTATTTAGAATCTTTGCTAATCTTCATGAAGACAAAGAAGTTCATTTAAACCTTGTACAAGTTTTTCATTTTGACTCATAAAATTTGTTAAAACTTTATTTAGAATCTTTGCTAATCTTCATGAAGAAAAAGTTCATATAACTCTTGTACAAGTTTTCCATTTTAACTTATAAAATTTGTTAAAACTTTATTTAGAATCTTTGCTAATCTTCATGAAGACAAAGTTCATATAACTCTTGTACAAGTTTTTCATTTTGACTCATAAAATTTGTTAAAACTTTCTTTAGACTCTTTGCTAATTTTCATGAAGACAGAATTAATGTCATTGATTGATTGATTGATTGATTTTATGAGGGCCTTGATTGCTATGATCATTGGCCCTAAGAATGTGTATATTAATTTATGTTCTATCATTTGTTGATTTATTTTTGAACTTCATTTTTAATTTTAAAAATAACAGAGATGCTACATAAGGGATGAAGCATCAAGGACTTTCAATCAAGTATATCATTGTTTATCCCACCAAAAGTTTACATACAAAAGCATCTTAATTTCTGTTATCAAACTTAAGATCCTTTAGTCTGCAAATCTTGTGTTTATAAACAAACGCTGTCTTGTTCCAGTATCTGGCAGACTTGTTCCCTTCCAATCTACAACCCTAGATGCTTATAATAATTAATTTTTCAGGTATCGACACGAACGCTTGGCGCGACGCGATCGACACCGATCGATCGGACGACTCGAACGACTCGTCCTCGATGCATCGCGCTCATTCAAAAGACGCGGAAAGCGAACGGTGCATCGACAGATACCTGGAACTAGAGGAACTGGGAAACGGTAGATTCGCCAAAGTATGCCGTGCGAGGGAGAAGGGATCCGTCCGAGAAGTGGCCTTGAAACAAATATTCAGAGTAAGGCAGCGGTTGTCGGTGACCCGTGCAGAATACGACTTCCTTCGAACCACGTGTCATGATAATATCGTTCGAGCGCTTGCCTTGTTTGAGGACCTACCCCAGCCCGGTATCGACACTATAGTTTTGGAGCTGTTAGTATATGTTCATACGCAACGCCACATGACGATCTCTAACAAGTTTATTTGTTCTGTAACTTTACTTTTTATAGACTGAATTATATCATGTTTATATTGTAATTGTCACTGCTGTAATTGTTACTGCTGTACTTGTTGCTGCTGTACTTGTTACTGCTGTACTTGTTACTGCTGTACTTGTCACTGCTGTACTTGTTACTGCTGTACTTGTTGTTGCTGTACTTGCTACTGCTGTACTTGTTACTGCTGTACTTGCTACTATTGTACTTGTTACTGCTGTACTTGCTACTGCTGTACTTGTTACTACTGTACTTGTTACTGCTGTACTTGTTACTGCTGTACTTGTTACTGCTGTACTTGTTACTGCTGTACTTGTTACTGCTGTACTTGTTACTGCTGTACTTGTTACTGCTGTACTTGTTACTGCTGTACTTGTTACTGCTGTACTTGTTACTGCTGTACTTGTTACTGCTGTACTTGTTACTGCTGTACTTGTTACTGCTGTACTTGTTACTGCTGTACTTGTTACTGCTGTACTTGTTACTGCTGTACTTGTTACTGCTGTACTTGTTACTGCTGTACTTGTTACTGCTGTACTTGTTACTGCTGTACTTGTTACTGCTGTACTTGTTACTGCTGTACTTGTTACTGCTGTACTTGTTACTGCTGTACTTGTTACTGCTGTACTTGTTACTGCTGTACTTGTTACTGCTGTACTTGTTACTGCTGTACTTGTTACTGCTGTACTTGTTACTGCTGTACTTGTTACTGCTGTACTTGTTACTGCTGTACTTGTTACTGCTGTACTTGTTACTGCTGTACTTGTTACTGCTGTACTTGTTACTGCTGTACTTGTTACTGCTGTACTTGTTACTGCTGTACTTGTTACTGCTGTACTTGCTACTACTGTACTTGTTACTGCTGTACTTGTTACTGCTGTATTTGTTACTGCTGTACTTGTTACTATTGTACTTGCTACTGCTGTACTTGTTACTACTGTACTTGTTACTGCTGTAATTGTTACTGCTGTACTTGTTACTGCTGTACTTGTTACTGCTGTACTTGTTACTGCTGTACTTGTTACTGCTGTAATTGTTACTGCTGTACTTGTTACTGCTGTACTTGCTACTGCTGCACTTGTTACTGCTATACTCGTCAACCCCTTGCATTATTTTGACGAGTCCGACTCGTACCTCAGCCGTCATCAGTTGTACTCAAATTTTTAATACGCTTCAATTTGGAGTTCAAGTTCAATTATAATTTGTATAGTCAATTGAATAATAACATATTGACATATTTCAATTTTTTTGTCTGTTTTAATACAGTAACTGCAGTTATTCAGTTCCGACTGACGCACCTAACACATAAGTCATAGTGCAAGGGGTTAATTGTTACTGCTGCAACTACTTTGTCTATGTAAAAAATAAGTATGAAGCAACACTTCGCTTCAAGCAATCGCACTTCTCTCCTGTCAGTTCACCTCTTTTGTCAGGGTTCATCTTGTGGCAAACAAAAATTTTCTACTATCTTTTTCTTTCTTTTCCTATGTTATTAATGTTTTCTGTTCCTCTGTAGGGTGAGGGGTTCCACCTTGTTCGGGTACCTCGGCGAAAAGACAGAGTACACGGAAGCAACCGTAGCGAGGTACACCGGTCAGTTGCTGTCGGCGCTGCGATGGCTGCACGCGCGTAAACGAGCTCATTTGGACCTGAAACCGGAGAACGTTTTAATCGACGAGGAAACCGACACTGTAAAATTAATAGATCTCGGCGAAGCCGTCAGAGCGGCGCCGCTCGACGAAGTCCGTCCTCCGGCTGATTTAGAATTCGCTGCCCCAGAATCGGTTCTCGGGAAACCGACCGGCTCCTACACGGATATGTGGGCTGCCGGGGTGTTCATTTACGTGCTTCTCAGGTAAAACATCGATCTCTTTTAACTGGAACCAACACCTGCACACGGTCGATACGTTTCTCAACGGATTGTTTTATTCAGTGGCCTTTCACCCTTCTTGGACGATTCCATCGAGGAGACTACCGCCAATATACTGAAGTGCGACTTTTGTTTTCCGGAAGAGTACTTTCATGAAATATCGGAGGACGTGAAACGTCTGCTCGAAAGATTGCTGCGTTCGCGCGGAGAAGACAGAACGACCGCTGAAATTTCCTTATCGTCACCGTGGTTTCAGGTATAGGATGCTTTCATGAAATTATTTTACTCTGCGAAGCCAACCAGCCAGTTCAGACGATGCGATGCTGCATATGAAGCTAGTGAACGATTTCTTTTGTGCAGATTCATTAATAACTCGTGTGTTAATAGCTCATCAGTTGGTAGTAGCTCATGTGTTCATGGTATAGCTTTAAAACTTGCGTCTTAATAAAATAAATATACGTTGACCATGAATATAAAACTGTACGAATGCAGCCCAAAGTAGCGGGGCTTCGTATAGGTAAAACATATGTGAAGATAGCTTATAATTATAATAATAGCTCAACAATTTGGCAGTTCGACAGTTTTAATTTGTATACATTTCCTTTTTCGACATGATAAACTTTTGTACTGTCAGTAATTGATCCCATAATTTTAATCACATTACGACATATTGTGGAGTTTCAAATTAAGTTTTATTTTATAAAAATAATGTTCGTTATTCTATTTAAAATGAACTACGCATGCGTACTATGATTATCTGTACTCTTTGTAATTATTAGATAGACGGGAGGATTTTGGTTACCGAATTAATCAAACGCATCGTCTAAATGGACTATATAGACATTTTTCAAAAGATACGTTTGTTTCAGGTACCGATCGGTGCAACGATCCCTTCCTCCCGAATGGCTGCCTTTATCGATCGTCGCGCGCATCGATCGAAATCTCGTCAAGAGCGAAACAGTAGTTTTTATTCGTAAAGCTGTATCTCGTTCATAAAAGACATATATATATACATATATTTATTGACAAATAATTTTTTGTAAAAGCTACCGCGATCGAATCGACCGAATGTAAATAAAACTAGCGAACGCGATCGCGACGGCTACCACGTGACCGCCGTTATCACCTATCACCTTTTTGTTATTCGTGCGTTTCGTTTAGTCTATCACGCGTACAAACTGCCGCGTCTGTCGATACTTGACCTTCGATGTGCCCGTTTGTTCGAATAAAACACGAATCAACGTTGAAATCTACCGATACAGGCCCGTCGTCGACAACGTAGTTTCAGTTCCCATGGAACGACCCTTTCTATTAACTAGCGTTACATCATTTCCTTTTTATAGGGACACGTTACAATCGCGTTACGTGAAATTATGTGCTATCGCATCGCTCGTCTTCTGGAACAATGACATAAATCAAAATTATTTATGTAAAAAGAACAGTTCTTGTTTATTCTTTCTACTCGTAGATTTACAATTCTTGCGCACACCGCAGAAATCCCCTCCACTGATTTACATATAGAAAGACTGATCAAGGACATCTCTCGTGTTGAATTCATTAATTGCGCAGTATTTTTCTGTACAATGCCCCCACAAGGGTGATTATGTCATTATTCCGCCAGAGAAGCAATATATAAAATAAATATATGTATATTCTGATATTCGGCTACATTCGACTCATATTTTACGAATGTCGCGTAATAACAATGTACAATTGTGTTAATTTCACGTGACGTAATGTTAATGCGTTCCTGTCTTAATTTTCCTATCACTGTCTTATCGTTTCCCCTGTTCATACAAGTCATTATCGTAAATCTGCGCATTACGTTGATCTTGACATTGACAACGGATCGAAGTAAATCCTTTTCCGACGATACGTCGAATTTTCCATTTCCCTTTACCGTGGCGATATTCTTAACCGTTTACAGTGATCGAGCACGTGTTGCTCGTACTCTTCCGACGAAGAGAATGATTTATTATCACAAAGAAGGCAGCTCGCATCTTTTCTGTTTACCGAGTGACGACGCATTCTATGAATGCTCAATTCGACCTTGTTCTGCATTTGCTCGTTGCAATCTGGACAAGTCATCGGTTCCCCGTCCGCTCCTTCGTGCTCCGATACGTTTTCCAACCTACTGATCGACGTCCCGCCATCTTTCTCGTTCGAATTCGATTCGAACGTCACGATTATGCTCGATGACGTACCGACGGTACTCGAACGCTCTTCTTGTTCTCCTCCCGCTTCCTCTGCCTGTTCCGACTGAACGAAACGCTTCGGAGACAAGATCGTTTCGCTCGTGGTTTTTATCGAATCCGACTCGGTCCGAACCGATGCCTCCCGATGACTTTTTACGTGCTCGGCTAACTGTTCTTTGCTGCCAAACGTTACTTCGCACGAATCGCAAGAGTAACGTGACGCGTCCGCTGACGGACATTTTCTTACGTGCTCTTTTAACATTCGTTTTTCGAGAAACTCTTCTCGACAATGTTCGCAGCCGTACGTTCGTTCTCCATGATGCGAACTTCGATGCTTCGAGAGCTCAGACTCGCTTTCGTAACTGATCAAACAGTCGAGACACATATGACTGGACAATTCAGAGTGATCGGTTAACAAATGAGTCTGTAGTTGTCTTCTAAATTGAAACTCTTGATCGCAGAATTCGCAACGTATCCGTTCGTCGTTTCCCTCCGTCGTCTTCGCTTTATCCTGCTCTACCAGCTCCGCTTTTTCTTCGACTCCAATTTCCACTTTTACTTGTACTTTGCCTTGTTCCTCCATCGACGCTTCCTCCGTCGACCACTCCGTCTCCATTTTACACGGCATCGTTTCCGGCTCGCTCGACTCGACCTCTATCTTCATTTCTATTTTCCTATCTGTACTCTCCTCTGTCCTCGTTTCCTTCGACTTAACTTGCTCAGTACTTCGGTACCTCTGATTGCTCATCACTTTCAAAACGTCCGACCAATCGAGTTCTTCATCACTCCGGCACGTGTCCGTGAGCAACGAGAACACGGTGTCACCCTGTCTTTCGTCTTCCCGCTCGATCCGAGACTCGTTTCTTAAACTTGATTCGTTCGTTCCGGTTTTGTAAATTGGCCTAGCGACGTTGTTGCCTGAGAGCGAAATGGAGGCAGGGCTGGGAACTGGGCTCTGAATGGACGCTGCTACCTGAGCAGTCCTTTGCCTTCCTCTTCCTCTTCCGCCGATTCCCCGGCTGCGAGGTCTACCTCGACCGCGTCTGAAAATACCGCGAGTGATTCTGGGAGCACGGTCCTGCTGATCTTCCTCCTTTTCCTTTTCCTGTTCCTTCTCTTTCTCTTCCTTCTCCTTCTGCTCCTTTCTCATGTGCTCGCCCAGCGAATAAAGAGGTTTCTTGGGAACGCTGTTCGTTTTGGAGTTCGGAAACACATGGCGCAGAGTGTTGTCCGCGACGTAGATCTGTTGAAAAAACTTGAACGATTGCTCCAATTTGTCGACGCACTCGTCGCACATGTTTGTCGGCAAAGCATCTTCGTCGTCAATTTCTATTAAAAGTTTCAGTTTCGATAGAAGGCTCATGTCCGTGCCTTTTCCCTTGCTCGTCATACTTACGAGGTTCGGTTTTTTGGTAGCGCAAGTTCTGCACCACTGATCCACGTCGAATTCGGAAGGAGCATTTTTCTCTGCGGGTTTATTTATCGATACTTCCTCCATAGAACTGTCCTGACCGTTTACTTGAACTTTCTGAAATTTTACGGATATGTAAACATTGGTAAATTGGAGCAGATGCGACCTAACCTAACTGCGTATGCTCCGAAAATGTTTACTTTCGTTTTCGTGACTGTAACCATAAAAGTAACGGTTCGTTTTGATTTCAAGCATAACCAATAAACTTTTGGAGATCCATGGTGCAACGAGAGAACGAGAGAAACGAAACGAATGAGTAATAAAGAAGACTTACCCGTCGCGTTTTCAAACTTTTCAGTGTTCTCGAAACAGCGCTCCAATGTGGAAAAGGGACCGCATTTTCTTTCAATGTACCTTTGCTGAGATAACAGTCCTCCGTAAAGTGATTGTTACACACGAAAAATTTCATAGATCGTAAAGCGTCCAGATCTCTGCCGATTAGATCCACGTGACCACTGTTGATCAACCATCTCACGCAAAGACCAGTATCACAAACGGGAAGTTCGTGAAGTATTTGCTCCTTTTCCCGGGTGTCGACACAATCGATGTATCTGCATTTGGTTACTTCCTCCATGATACGCGGATTTTTGCCAGCTCCTGATTCGGCGGAGGCACACGTGCAAATACCGATTGCTTTCCCTTTCCAGCAAGTCTAATCCCTTCGGAAAAACAGCGAAACCCTAAGCATTTCAGACAGGTTAGGCATACGTGCGATTAAGGCGCGAAAAGCGAAACTAATGCAGCGTATCTGCCATCTCGCGATCCTTTTTCGTATTCTTGAACCTGTTATCGGTCTTTTATGCAACTTCGTTTCTACATATTTCTATGTCGATGATCCGCGCACAATGTTTTGTCGATCCACCAGAGAACGAGGTCGTATCGCGCAACTCGAATGTGCTTGGAAGGTTCCTGGCTAATTGTACTGTTCTATTATTATTCGCTCTAACTCGATCGGTTATATACGCAGTAGGCCAAAAACACGAATAACGGAAGAAACGATGACGTAAAAAGCGTACGTAATAAAAGTTCACTGGGTATGATCGTTAATCGCTAAGACCGTCGTAACGATACATGCGCAGTACCTTCGCTTTCCGACGAATCACAGCCAACATGCGCGGAACGAACAAAATTATTCGTTCGACACCTTGTTCTTTCGATAAACCGGTAATATGTATATAAATATGTAAATATGTATGAGTGTCGTTATTTTTATGAATTTAACGTATACCTTTGTCGAATGCATATACGATTCCCGTACTTGAACGCGAGGAAAATTACTTGAACTATCAAGTTATTGCCGAATATTTCGATCGCAAAGGTTATCCACGATTGAAAATATTTCGGAGTATACAAGTATAGCGAAAACTAGAAGTACGACGCGTCGAATTAATTTTTACGAATAATCAGACAACGAACGTCGCACCGATAAACGTAATGAACAACTTTTCGCGTATATATCGACGTTAGTTAATTATTTGTAACAACCAATACGGCTCGAACAAACAACTCGAGCGCTGTCATCGCTCGATCTACTAGTAACGGTTTCACTTTTCCACGGGATAAGTCGCGCGAAACGACGCGAAGAGACGCTACACGCGTCACGTGATAACGTTTTCTACCACTTTGCTAACAGCCAACAAAACAAACAGTTCTTGTGAATTTCTCCTTGTACTATAAACAGGTACAAAATGTCACTGAGAATTTCGACTTTATAAGAATTTTTTATAGAAATTCTGAACCGCTATCGAGATTAGAGGGTAGGGAAATTCGAGAGCAGAAAGAACACCGTGCACTTTCAGAGTGTAAACGAACAAGTTAAAAGTAGTTAGATTCGTTGATCAACTGAACTGCCAAATGTCTGAGAACGTGGAAGAAACGATGGAAGAAGAAAGTTCGGTTACGATGTTGGACGTGCTTCGAGAGGAGAATCAGTTGGAGGAAGATGCTTGTGCAGTTTTAGGCGCGTCCGACGACAAAAATTGCACTTACAGCAAGGTATCGTAAACATTAAACACGATTAAATGTCGCCGTACCGTAACCGACGATAATCGAACAGTTCCTTATATTTTCACATTTTTCTTGCAGGGATATTCTCGGCAAGCTTTATACGCTTGTAAAACCTGTTGCCCGAAATCAGGAGGAGGAATCTGTCTAGCTTGTAGTTTCCACTGCCATGAAGGGCACGAACTGGTAGAGCTGTATACCAAAAGGCACTTTAGATGCGACTGTGGTAATTCCAAATTTGCTGGAAAAAAGTGTAACTTGGATCCGGTATGGCTTTGTTGATTACATCTTTCACAAGTATCTTGCTTTATTACTTTAGAGTAACGGACCTATCCCTTGTTTCGTGTTTGGTTCTTAGTCAAAGGATCCGATTAACCCTGAGAATAAATACAACCATAATTTTGATGGGCTCTATTGTATCTGTGAGAGACCTTATCCAGATCCAGATGATACACTGAATGATGAGATGTTACAGTGCATTGTTTGCGAAGATTGGTATCATTCCAAGGTAATATTACTTAACTTTGCAACTTTCTTCTTAAGTTGACTAACTGTTTTAATAGCATCTAGAGTGCGAAAAAGGAATACCGGCGGACGACGCGTACGACGAGATGATTTGCGCTGGATGTATGAGGCAGAATGACTTTCTGTGGTGTTATGCAAATAAATATGCAGGTAATGAATCCCAGGTGCCAGCTACTTTAGTTCACTTTAAGTTAACTTAATGATAGAAGTAATGATGGTAATCATATTATTCTGTTAATCGTTTTTGGATAAAAGAGTAATCGTGATTGTAGTTGATATTCTGCAGACATTGAACTGTGATTTGTAATTGCTGAATTAATGATTAATCCCAGTGTTCGAAACACCCGAGGCATCCAGCGATAAGAAAGAAGAATCGGTGGATATCGAAAAACTGCCCGAAGGATGTACGATGCCACGAAATAATTCTCCGAACCGGACTGCAACAAAAGGAAGTTGCTTCTGGACGGAGGGCTGGAGAAGCGCTTTGTGCGTTTGCGAAACGTGCAAGGAGGTAGACTTGTTTTTCGAATCATTGTACAGTACGGTACTTACAACGTAGTACTTCTCGCCGATGCATCTACCGAACGAGCTTTTGTACGATTACAGCTATACCGAAAGAAAAATGTTATGTTTCTTCTCGATCCAACGGACAGCGTGCACGCTTACGAGGAGGCAGGTAAAATTAACAATCATGAATCGCAGTACGAGAAGGGTATGAAAGCTCTCGCCTCTTTGGGTCGCGTCGAACAATTAACGGCGATCGAAGGTAGATAGATTTAACGCGACACTAGTTTATCGTTTAATAGATTCATTGATCGCATTCTTTGGCGTTTAACAGAGTACAATAACATGAAGGAGCGACTGAAGCGGTACCTGCAAAAGTTCGCCGAGAACAAGAAAGTCGTACGGGAGGAAGACATAAAGGAATTCTTCACGGAAATGGAATCGAAGAAACGGCCAAAGGTGGTAGTACCTACGTATTGCCGTTGAGATCGACTTCAACCGGAAGACATCTGTTTTTATTTTTTTATTCGAATATTAGGATCTTTTTCTTAATAGTTTTTGTTTGTCGAATTATTCTCGTGATACTAAGCTATTTACGTTTTTACACTTCGAAAATTGTCAAAGTTTCGATAAATACGAAATTACTTGTGATAAACGAAGGAGTTAACGAAAGGGAGATGTAGAAGGAAGAAGAGGAATAAAAGCGAAGAAGAAAGATATCTTATTATTTCCATGGATTACCAAATTTCCTTTCTTTCACACGTTTTAAGCAAGAACAATGCTATTACAAAAGAAATAGTAACGTTTATTTATGCGAACACAAATATTGTCTAGTTCGTGAAGACAGTAAAATATAAGACAAAATTATAGAACGAAGCAAAGTAACGATATTGGAAAGAAATTCACTAGTAGAGGAACTTTACGTTTGGACATAAAGTTCAACTTGCAGCGGATGTCGGTTCATCGCGCAGTCTTAAAGGTATCACTACGATCGGTTCTGTAGAGTTCGGTTTGTCCGTGTAGATGGCCCAAGTCCTCTCGATGCAGTCAAAGATACCTAACGACACAAATTGTCAAACATTTACTCCAAAATAATAATACCGGTCCGGTAATAATAATAATAATGACCACAGCAGTCGACGTCCTCAATAACAAACAACAACAAAACACTAACACAGAAGAAACAAGAAAGATACCTGTAGCAATAGTCTTCACATAGTCGTCCTTCTTAATCTCCTGATAAACTCTATACTCATCATCAGTTTGATCACTCAAAATATTTATAACATCCTGACGCGACTTAGCCGGAGGATGTCTGCAGATGGCCTCCATTCTCTTCACGCTGCTGTCTATGATAACACCCTCGACCTCCGGCACCTTCAGTCGCAGATATCTGCAAGCGAACAAATACCAGAGACTAATCGTAAACAATCGAGCCCTTCACTCACTTGTTGCAATGGGCCGTGTTCTCTCCGGGGCTGACAGTCAAGATGTTCAGTTGAGATTGCGTGGCGTCAGGCTCACAAGGACCGATCTCTGCATTGTGAAACATTCTGTCCCCTTCTTGCGTTAGAAAAGTCATATTCACCGAGAATCCCTCGGCAGCGCCGCATCCTTCGTTCCGCAAAATTTGCTGGGCCTCCACGTAATTCTCCGCGGACAACAGCGCTCTGGCTAAAAAGTACCTGGCTACGAGAGGCAACTACGTTAACTAAAGGGAGATGTAGAAGGAAGAGAAGGAAACTTCGTTTGAAGAAAGAAAAAACAGAGTACAGAAGAAATAACTTACGAGTCTTGGCGGATCTCAAAGTGGCGGCACTGAGAGTATTGATAGAGTAAACGAGACCATGATGGTTGTAACCCATCGTGTATCCAGGCAGGAACCCGGCGTAGCTCAAGGACGTGAAATTTTCCTCCTTGCATCCTGGTTCGACCACGTGAGCAGCAACCAGGTACCAGTGGTTGAGGGTCTCCCCGAGTGCGTCCTCGTTGTGTCCCAAAATCTCCTGTTTCGCGATAGTAAAAACAGGAAATACTCGCGCATAAAATCACGTAAATTCATCGATCAAGGTTGTCGGTACCATGAGGGCAACTGGTCCACGCCCGTCCCGCTTACCTGGCCTGGTTGATTACACATGATAGTTGAGCAACCAACCGGTAACTCGTTGCTCTGCACTGTTTCGTTCGCTACATTCGGCACGATGTCGTCTAAATGCATGAGAAATAGCTGCGGAAGAAATCCCGAGGATTAAACACAGCTCGATGCGAGTTCGACGAACGACGTACCTTGTGGAAGGGAACATCCGCTCCGTCGGCCGTCCCCCGGATTTCCCGGAGATATCCCGGGAATTGCTCTTCCACGCATGCCAGAGTTTCTTCGTAAATCTTTCTACCCGCTTCGGTCTCGTAAAGCGGCAGGTACGTTTCGTTCAACGGCCGATATCTATCCATGTAGGATCGAATTAGGCCGGAGAAGGTGCGTCCCTGAGGGAAAAAGTTGGTCGCTGGTTTGAGCGAACTAGGTACATCGATTATGTCGTCGCTAGTTCGCGTGTGAGGCGGATATAAGACAACTTACTGCGTATAGTAATAAATTTTGCGTAAATGTTTGTATTGTGCGAAGTAGAAAAGAGTACTGGTATGTTGTCAATTGTCGAGACTTCACTTTGCATACGTAGCTCTATATTGCATATTTAGCTCTATACAATCGAAGTTGCTTTTGATAAATAGCAAGTGTACAATTTCTACTATTGTTCGTTTCACTATGTCACTATAAATTTAGTTAAAAAATACTTGTTTCAAGTATAAGATACAAGTATAAGGTACAAGTATAAGATACCTCGTAAGAGCAAAGGTACTTTAACACTAGAACTACCGACATTAAATGCTCGTTTATCGACGAATTAAAAATAAAATGAAAAGGGAAATAAATACTAAAGCATCAAGTAACATATAGAACTAGTTTTTACCTCAACAAAATATGACAGACATTTCCATAAAATCACGACAATAAAATTTTGTAACATCAAATGGGAAATGTGAAACCAGTCATTTTGACTGGTTGGTAGTTCTAGTGTTTAAAAATGTTATCAGCGCAAGATAATCTGTCACAAAATTAGCAAATATTGTAAAAATGCTACTGAATCGGTAAAAATTCCTTCGAAGAATCTGCTGTTTCGATATTATTTATGTTCCACGGTCTCGAGTTGTTTGCTTGCATAATGCTAATCGTTACGTGATGCGTTAAGTCGGAATTATTTTAATAGAAGTACGATATCAATCACAGTTCGTATCAGTCTCGTGATTTCGATCCACTTAGAAGTTTTATCGGTTAGCCCTGTACAAGCAGCGGCTTAGACCACTGATCCTATTGGAGTTGCAAACAGCATTTTTTGCGGTGAACGAACTCGATGTGGTACTTAGAACATGTTCTTAATCCCGCGATAACAATGACGGAGTAACAAAGTCGACGATAAAAGAATGAAAAATCGCAGGTAACGATACGTAATTGAATTGAAAATCGAAGATCGAGTGGAGATCCATCGGGGATTTTTCCATTTATCTTTTTTTCCCAGCGTCGATCGTCGTAATTTTCTCGTTACCGATTTACGTAACCGATAATTTCGTTTCCTAACGAGTTTTTTCTCGCTTCACCTCGCGTACGCGTCAACGCTCGTCGAAAATGTTGCAATTAGCGACGAAGCGCGGAAAATAAGGAAAAAAAAAGAACGATCGAGCAATCTACTGTGAATCGAATCACCGATAAAAACAATAGAATTCTTACGATATCGAAACCGACGTCGTAATGAGTTCCTCTGGTATGAATAATGGGAACGGCTTGTCTTCTTCCGATATCCGTGTTCTCGCTGGTGCATGGACCAGAGTCTTCCGGCGTTGTCATCCTTTGACTTGTTGCCTCTTCCAAACGAGCCGCAACTACCGGTGCAGCTAAAATTTCGATATCGTTTTGCTATGCTGGCACGAGTTCCTTATCTCTGACATCTCTCTCCCATGCTCTGTATTCCCCCTACGCTACTCTCGATTTCGTTCATTTCGGTACGCTTCAAGGTTGAAACGCTTTTTCGTGTGGTGAAAAATCGCGTTCCTCGAACCCTTACCACCTTTCCAGCCCACCTTCTCGCATCCGCCTCTTTCCACGCCAGCGTTCGATCGGTTCACCGCGCTGGAGAACGCGAAACGTGTTCCCCCGTTCCTAAATCGCGACCTCGCAGCCCCCGTTCGATCCGATTCGATCAGATAGACCCGGTCGCGCGTCGAACGCGAAATAACGAACTCCGTTTCGCGCGCTGAACTAGATACTCTCGACGTCACCTGTACCGCTCAAACTTATCGCCGGTGACGCGGGAAACGGGCCAATCGAACCGCGGAAAATTCGATCTGAGAAAAAATCTTGCGGAACAGGGGGGAGCGAACTTGGCAGGAAAACTCGCGGTGCCGATCGTTTTAGGGAGCGCTTCCGGCGAACGTACCTGAAATTCAACTGGAGCCTCTGTCGAGGGATGCAAATTGATACGAATCGACGAGATCGAAGCGGCCGATTCCAGGCGTCGTGGCGACGAGAATGATCGTCGCGCGTCCGAGGACGGTTTTTACGGTCGGCTTCCCTCCGCTACGCGAAGACCGTGAGTCTAATCTACCTTTTATCGGCTTACGTTGATTTGCGAAGCCGTACGACACGCGTAGCCACCTCCAAGAATCGACGAATTCTCCGTTGGTGAACAATGAGATCCAGCGGCGGCGTGACCGCCATTATGGTTCTTCCGCAAACGCTTCCTCTTCTTCTTGCGTTTCATTTCTGGACTTGCGTTTCAAAGAAGATTTTTATACAGAAGACACGTTGTTGCTCGATCATAATCTTCTTGGACTTGAATCTATTACTTCAATTTATTAAATTCAGAGTAGGTTATTGTAAAAGATTTTCAATATCTAAAAACAAGTTTTAACCGCTTGTATTTTGACGAGTCTCGTGACGCACTTTCAGCGCAAATATAATAAGTCTCACTCAAATTTTTAATATTCTTCAAGTTAAAATTTAAGTTCAACCATAATTTGCATTATCAAGGCCGAATGCTTATAGAATTTTTATTTTATTGTTTGTTTTAATATTATGACTATGAATAGTTAGTTTGGACTGACGCACCTCACAAATAAATTGTACGGCAAGGGGTTAAAAGTTACATAGAAGATGTGTTCAAAAATTCATTTCAGTTCATTATTCATAATGTGTTCGGATTATTTGTCGATCAATTAGGTTTAGATAAAATTGTCAACAATGTATTAATACTAAATTTACTTGAATTTTAAATTCTTCGTTTTAACCCCCTTCATTTTGAGCGTCAAAAAATGAATTTGATAAAATTGTCGATCAACAATGTATTAATTCTAAATTTACTTGAATTTTAGATCCTTCGTTTTGAGCCACATTTGTCAGCACTATTACGACAACAAAACGAAGTTAAAATGTTAAGCGAAATTTTTACGTTAAAATTCTGTGTTGCAATTCTTGATTATGCAAAGTGTAATAAAATATAATTTATTGCGTTCAAAGAAAAGCTACATGTGCGTTAAAAAATGAATCTGATAAAATTGTCGATCAACAATGTATTAATTCTAAATTTACTTGAATTTTAGATCCTTCGTTTTGAGCCACATTTGTCAGCACTGTTACGACAACAAAACGAAGTTAAAATGTTAAGCGAAATTTTTATGTTAAAATTCTGTGTTGCAATTGTCGATTACGCAAAGTGTAATAAAATATAATTTATTACGTTCGTGAAAAATGACATGTGCGAGAAATTTGAAGAATATTTGCATAAAATTTATGTGTAACTATAGTACATAATTAACTTGGAAATAGGTATTCATTGACTGCCCGTAAGAGCATTGTTCTAAGACAAGTCAGACCTCTCGTGAAGATTGACGTGCAATTAAAAGGCAATTATTCTTGCGATCAATTCTTCTGAAGAAATTCCAGAGATAGATATTCGAAACTATCAATTATTTTCTGTAAGTTGCGAGCCGTTCATGATGCAAGGGCACGCAGTCGGCAGGGCGCTATAATTTGAAATCAAGTGCGACATTAGCTTATCGCTCATGTTAGAACGCGTGTTCGTGTCACGGGTCCGGTTTGGTTGCTTTTTAACCGTTCCAAACGCTTCAAATGCTCGATCTTATTTTGCAATGATCTTGCGCGCGGATGCATATTTACCGAAAGGAACAAGTTTGGTTGCGGAAACCACAATGCAGCGCGCGAAAAATCGAGTTCCATCGCGGTAAGAAGTGAAAAATTCGGGGAAAAAATCTGAGCAGAGGTATTCCGATGGTTACGAAGTCTGTAATTAACAGGCGCATTACACGTATATAGAATTACGCAAGAACGTTCCCGCGATCTGTTCCCTTCGACGAAATACGATACTCGATTGACGTCTAGATTTCGATACAGACGTATAATGAGATCACCTGTCCACTTCCGACTACCATAAAAACTTTATAGTGTATAAATTAGAAACATTGTATATCAATGAGCGACTCTAGTTTTTCTATGTGGAGGCGATATTCCGCAATCGCGTGTCCATTATGGTTTAGGTCCATCGAAGGAGACATAATTAAACTCGATCTGACTCGATTCGTGTCGAACCATTTACATCGTTTCTAGTTACGTCCCGCATTTTTCGACTGTTTCGCATTGTCTATTTTCCTTGAAAAGCAATGGAACTGAGATGGCGGGAAAGAAAATGGGAACGACGGGAAAGGTGATTGGAAGGATCCGCACGGTCAGCCGTTACTTCGGCTTCTAAATACTTCCCGATATATGAACTAGAGTATACCAACCGTCCGATCTCTTCTACGGTTTCTCGTTGATTCTCCGTTCGCGTGTTTTACGACGCGAAATTCTTCCCTTCGACCGTGTCTCGTTAACGCTAGGTTTACGGAACGTGGCGAAATCAAACCTATTTTTAATTACACAAATTATTAAAATGTTCCCCTTCGAAGTCAAAAGTGACTCACGCTCACCTTTCTTGCAATTCTAATTACTAATTGAATCTACAATTCTATTTGTTTTCTTACTACTGTTATACCATGTGTATATAATATTATACATATAGTATATAATATTGTACATGAAGTACATAATATTATACACAATGCATAATATTATACATACAGTATATAATATTGTACATGTAGTACATAATATTATACATGTAGTACATAATATTATACATATAGTATATAATATTGTACATGAAGTACATAATATTATACACAATAGATAATATTACACATGTAGTACATAATATTATACACAATACATAATATTGTACATGTAGTACATAATATTGTACATGAAGTACATAATATTATACACAATACATAATATTACACATGTAGTACATAATATTATACATATAGTATATAATATTATACATATAGTACATAATATTATACATGTAATACATAATAATATACACAATGCATAATATTATACATACAGTATATAATATTGTACATGTAGTACATAATATTATACATGTAGTACATAATATTATACATAATGCATAATATACATGTAGTACATAATATTGTACATAATGCATAATATACATGTAGTACATAATATTATACACAATACATAATAATATACATATAGTACATAATATTATACACATGGTACAACACAAGGTATAAACAAATAGAAGCAGTACTTAATAACAGAGAAAAACTACCCCAATAAAATTCTGCGTAGTACAAAAATGTCGAGTGTAAAGGGTAAACTGTTGTCGAGACAAAGAACGGTATAAATTAATTTATATTTTATCCCATACATTTTTAATCGAAAATTGCACATCGTCCGTAAACCTGGCCTTAAACTCGGATACTTTCTTCCTCGAACACCATCGTACAGTTCACTATTTATATTCTCTGATAATTAGCACGCGTTTACTCGAAACGCGTATACGTACATACGTACCTAACTTCGCGCTTGCATTAAATACACCGTTCGCATTCGCTCGCATAACAAAAAAACACGTTTCCAATGTCAAATAATAAATTAACGATAATTTATTTATCAAAAGTACCTTTCGCAAACGTATCAATAATGCTTATATACTATGTAATATATTATATAAGCTATGCTTATATACTATGTATGCACGTACGTATGTATGTATACATCTAGGTAGGTAGGTGTGTGTGTATCGCATACATATGCGGTACATATATGTACATACGTATGTTCTATGTGCAGGTATGCTTTTATATATTTAAATATCTGTACAACTTTTTTAAATTCCGTTCGTAACATTTAAACGTACCTTACAGAGCAGATATACATTGCAAAATGTACACGTATGTATTACCGTCCTTTTCGCTCTTGGTCAACTTACAAAACAGCTACGCCGTAAACACCGAACCGTCTCTTTTCTCCCATTCCTTTACCGCCCCCTCGCACTTTCCGTTTCGCCGCCGGCCACGCGATTTCTATTCATTTATAAAAGCACGATTTGGTTATAATGCTCTGGTCGGACAAAAATTAACGAGATAGTAAACGGATTAAAAGAGGCGCAAGAAACTATAAGAAGATTAAAAGAAAGAAAAGACTAGGAAGAGAGAAAAAGGAGAATTTTCAAAAATCTTTGGATATCGCTTTCGAGCGAACTGACATCGTATCGCTCGATCGATATCCGATTTGAAAATTAAAATAAAATTAAAATAAAACCACAGAGTAGACTAAAAAATAGGCAAGTTCCGACATAAACTAACCGATTCGCGTAGCCGGGGTGGATCTCGGCAATTTTCCACGCTTTCCGTGAGACGAGCGTCGCTCGTGCAACGCGACGTCAAAACGATCGGAATCGCGACGTTGATTCCGTTAAAGTACACGCGTTCGATGACGACTCAGTCTTATAGAAAAATGTCGCGTCTCTCTATCACGAATACGCCGACGTACGGTCAGTCGGCGTCGAAGCGAGAACGTTTCGTCGCGTGCGTCGAACGCGTTAACTTTTTCCTCGTAAGAACGAAAAGACCGAATTCCCGAGAACGTCCGATTTCTCGGTTGGAATCTATGGAACTCAACAGGCCGCGGCGTGTTTCGCTCGTTGAGCAGCTATTCGTTGACTCCGTCTCAAGGTGCACGGGGGCGATTCCACGTCGATCTCCTTTTCCGAATCGGAATTGTCCAGAGCGGTTTTCCCGGCGTATCTCCAGCTGAGGATTGCGCCATCCCACTGTAATCGATAGTCTCGTTTTTATTAGGATCACTGTTAGACCTCTCGGTTTCGTCGCCGCAACGTCTCGTATCAACCGTGTGGATCCAAGTATAACTAATAACTCAAGATCGTAGATCGGTAACGATGAGTTTAAGGAGAACAGAGCGATCTTACGTAATAACGAAACGTTGCGAGAGACTGATTCTAAGCTTCTTTTCATTCGCGGATTTCACGAGTTTCTGAAATACGTACAGACGTAGAAACAATCTCCTGATGGAACGGATGCCAACTGACGTCGCGCACGCATCCTTTGTGACCCACTAAGCTACTGACTATCCTGCCAGTTAAAACGTCGTATACTGAAACGAAGGAAAACGTTAAGATCGAGACGTCTATAGTAACCGATGAAAATAAAAATTTGTCTTACTTATCACTCGTCCAGCGGCGCATCCAGTATATATATACCTTTGACCCGTTACGGAAGCAGGGGAGAAATGACAACGTATTAAAGTTTGAAGAACGGAGTGGCCGCGATAGGTCATGATGCTGGTATCACCTTCCAGCATATTCCTCGCTTTGTGCACTAAAGCGGAAAAATGTTACTTTACATCGAGGAAAAGTTTCGCGTCGTATTGATCGTTCGACAACTCACGTCGTTTCGGAACTTTTTGCCATCGATAATCCCAATTTTGGTTCGCCACAGCCTTGCGCGTGTTCCGTTCTCCGTTGTGATCCGAAAACGCGCGCACGTCCCATAATTTAATCGTTTGATCTTTACTGTTCGTGATGAGGTATCGGCCGTCACCGCGTGGATCGATGTACGTTATTCCGTCCATGTGTCCAGCCAACACTCCGACCGGATGTGGATCTGTTTCGTTGAGAGTTCTTCTGTCCCAGACCTAAACGAGTCAAAGAAAAAGCAAAAAAAAGAAAAGGAAGAAAATAAGGAAAAAGACGAAAAGAAAGCGCCAGCGTGCACGGATCCAGCAGAAAGGCTTGTTACCCAGGAACTTAATAACGTACCTTGCAGAGACCGTCGTCGCCAGCACTATACAAAATCTGTGACGTGTCATCCGCGAATACTACCGTGTTAACGTCGTTATCGTGAGCTTCGATCTAAAAATTGACGGACGATGAGTATCGAAACATCGTGCGCGAGATCGTTGGTACGAACCCTGAACGCGCGTTGATGACATTCGCGATCGTATATGTAAAGGTAACCGTCGTTGGCGCCACTCAGAATTTCTCGTCCATCGCTGGAGAATACTACGGAAAACACACCGAACCTTCGTTCCTCTGGACGCAACGACAACGACTCTTGCGTGCTGGAGTCTCCATAAACGGGCCATAAATACACTATGAATAGAAACATTTTTGTTTTGAATGATTGAAAACAAATGGGACCCTGATTATGTTCTATCGGTAGCAATGTATGGTTCACTCACAACACTCTGACCAACTGGAATAAACTATATAGTTGCCATCAGGACTGAATGCAGTGTCCAAAATGCTCCAACCGACATCTCGTGCACGGACAGTTTTGAATTCTACAAACTCTCCATCGTGGGTTTGGTATAGACGTAGGAATTTATCTGCAAGTCAAGATATAAAGAACAATAAGTAATTGTAGGAAGAGAACAAGCAGTAACTTACCTTGGCTAGCAGTTAAAAAGAGTCTTCCATCTTCCGAATAAGAACCGCAAAATGCTTTGATGTTGTGTTTAGCAACTTGGTGCATTTTATTCGGTAGAAAATTACTACTTATTCGACACCTTTCTCCTGTACTGAAATTAGGACCCAAAGCTCTCCTCTGTATCATCGACGTCACTGACAAATTACGTTTCTGTGAACTGTCTACGTATCCGCACGCTAATTTTGTGGCTAGGCTTATTTCGTTTTCCTGAAAAAAACGAAAAAAGAAACGCGCCAAAAGAACAGACGTATAAGTAGGAAGTTAAATATACTCGTATCGTATGTATACAAATAACAAACATCTAATCTGGACGTATTCGGTGAAGACGTAATTCTCGGAGGTTGCGAATTTGCGGCGTATTCCTCTTCCGAGTCATCGTGATCCGAAGCTATGATGTGTAGCTGGCCGCTGCAACGAGAAAACAAGAAACGTCAAAAGCAATCGTCGAGAGACCGGTCCAGAAGTAATGCGAAGAAACGTAAAGAAAGTGGACGGTGAAGGTTAGGTGTCCGAGACTTGGAAATGCTAAAGAAACGAACAAAAGTCAAATTCGTTCGAGAGGAGAGGAAAGTCGAAATCTTGCGGACTTCCCGTAGGAAAACAGAAACGGTTTCGAAAATGGAAATCATCGCGTTGATTCGAAAACGCGCAACAGCTAGGAATCGCATATAGAGGTTAGAATTTCTCTCATTCTCGTTGGTTGGTTGTCTTTGTTTGCTTTCCATTTCCCTCTCTTTTCCACTCGGCTCGTATCTCGGTTCATCTCTCTCTATCACGCGCGCACGTACACACGCTCGAAAGAAAAATTCACGACGACGACGACGTTGAACCTTTCGTCCGAGAGATAACGTCGAACCAACCTGCGTATCAAGTATTGCAGGACAGCGGCGAGCCCTGGATCGTGTTCGATATCCATATTGCGTGAATAAGTGCCTCCCATGCAGCCAGCTAACGGATCTTATTTACCGTGTAAAAGCAAACGAGAAAAATGCTCGCGAGAGTTGATGGCGTTAGTGCGGTGACTATGACAGTTGAAACGGACGATGACAGGAACGAAGAGCGCGCGTGTGAACTCGAAATCCGCACGGGGAGGGGGTAGAGAAGGAGAAGAGAGGAGAAAGGAAATATAAATATTTTTCGATCACGCGCGCGTAAAATACGTCGTCAGAGAAATAAACGGTCGTAAACGTTAGACGACAATGGCAGTGCGTAGAGATTCGATAGAAAGGGAAAGGAGAAACGCTAGATGGTGTAGAGAACGAGCAGAAAGGTGCGCGCGAGCGACCACGCGACAAGCCGGCTAGTTCGTGAAACGCACGCAAGTTCGCGAATCATTTTGATCGAACATGGAGATGACTTTGAAAAATCGAGTTGGATGACTTTAGAACGCAGGCGAATAAACTGCAATCCAGATAGAAATGAGATCAAGGTAATTACATACGCGATTGTCATCGAACATCGCGAGATCAAACGCGCCGCACATGGCATGACGGGACAACGTTACCGACCCTGAACTACATGCTCAAATCGCGAAAATATTTGAACCTCGAATATTCGATGTATTGCATAATTTTCTATGCTGTTATAATTGCTTTGGTAGGAAGAACACTTCGGACGAATATATACGTACTTTAATTCATATTCTCTGAGTACTTACGGATATATGTAATGCATATACATGTTGTATCACGTTTGAGCCTCTCGCGCGCGACGAACGATGTCGATAACGTGTATCGCTCGAGTAAGGAAATGTTCTGTCGGTAACCACGGTAAGTCGGTAAAACGAAGCGATCGAACTTACCGTACCAGTACACATTTCGATCGACAGAGATCAAGTACTAAAACGACGAAATTTCTTCTTCGATAATTGATCGTACAATCGTTTAGTTCGAGAAATAATCGATTCCATGCATTAGAGGTTTCGATCTTTATAACGGTAACGCTAGTGCTTTCTTTCTCTACATTCGTATTCCGCAAAGTAGTAATGTGCGATTCGTGATCAGTCTAATTAGCGGCTCGTAAACCGCGAGTAGCTAAAACCGTCTCTCGCTGGTCCTGTGCGTCGCGTAGCTCCCAAAGGAGTCACGCGTCATCCCTTATCCCCTATCCCCTAACCCCTATCTCCTATCCGCGATCCTTGAATCCCCTCGCCCCTGATTCGTAGCCGTAGTTACGGGCAGAGCTATAATTTCCAGGCCAGGCAGAGGCGTACACCCTGGCCAGAGCCGGAACATCGAGCAGGTCGTAGCCAAAACCATAGCCAGGATCGGAGGGCGCGCATGCGTCTTTTTGCCACCTGCTCGCAACTTTCTCGTTCTCCCGTCAATGACAACGTTAACCCGCACGGCAACGTTATCGTCTAGGGAAAGGAAGGGGTCGAAGACGATCTCGACGACCTCGACGTCGTCGAGTATCGTGCCGGCAACGTCGACGACGTTATCGACATTGACGTCGTCGCTTACGAGGACGAGAACGGCGACTACCACGACGACGTCAACGACGACGAGGACGATTTTGACGGTGAGACGAAAACGAAGACGACGACGAAGACGAAGAAGTCTAGAAAGATATTTAGGTTCGCGAGGAAAAGACGGAGGAAGAAAGGACTTTGTAAGACAGCTCGTTTAAAAGAGAAGTGGAGGGGAGATCGGTAGTCGATTTCAACCGCGCGTGAATCGTGCGTCGATCGTGCGTGAACGGTGCTAATCGTAGCGTTTGGATTTCCTTCGGATTCCTGGCGCGTTCCTGAGCGGCGGGCGGGCGG